GAGATTGAGAAGTTGTTAGATTTCAAAGTGTTCTATTAAGGAGAGGAATTCCAGCTACTCTGGAGCGGCCAGAATGGCCCTATATATATCCAAGATACTAAAGGAAAGGATACGTGGCCTTATATTGGCCACGTATGTGACAGAGTCACAAATGGGGATGGTGATCCTGAAGGATGACTATGGATGGGCTAACGTAGCCCAGAATCCAACAGAAGTCCTTGTACTTGATTTTGACTTGTTCCGCTTCAAGGCACGGACTTGGGCTTGTAGTTCTGAATCTTCCAAGGCTTGGGTTGTCTTCTTAACAAGATAGTCTCTAGGTTGGAAGCCCTTCCATGCCTTCTATAGGAAGATATAGAAATAATTCGCTAATGCGTGTTTCATTCCACACGCTAGACATTAAGAATGGTCCTTATCCCTACTTCTCCCGTTCTTTGGTCCGTGTTTGGTCTATTTTCTCCCAGACTTTTTGTTTCTAGTTTTCTGTTGTTTTTTGCCGAAGCCCTCGCTATTGTAGGTAGAACCAAATGCACCTTTGGAGACTCGTCCAGCTTTGTTGGTGGTCTACAAAATAGCCCTCGTGGAGTCATTGACAAGATCTCGATATTTCAGAATCTCATGCCGGATTTGTTTGTCCTTAATAACTATGTAAGTACTTGACCATATGGGAAATGCTTTAGATGCCGCGTCTAGGAAGTCTCTGACCAATGAGTTTATATTGAGCGTCTCGGGAACTTCTTTTTGATGGACCTTTATAAAGGCGATCTTCTAAGAGACAATCCATCTTGCTGCATTTTTGGGATTTCTGAGGGGTTAGAGTGCTGTCTTATAGAGTTGTCTTACATCCTCCTGCTCATCTGTACTAGCCATTCTGCACTTGGCTTGGAGATTTGCGTACCACTCCCAGATTGGTTGCTTTGGAATGCAGCAGGTGGTCTTATAATGGTTTGTGACAGACTTGAGTATATGGTTCTTGATTTTCTTTAAAGACAGTGCTTGTCACGAAGCGTAAATATGGAGTGGATGTAACAGTCCTGCTTTCACTACGTACGTGTAAGAATCTCTCGGTGAAGAGGAAAAGAAGGATCTGGCCCACCAGCTAATCTAGTAGCAGTTAGGGCAACACGTCCTGTGCGCCAGGTCACCTGATGCAGCGCACTGACCACTGCAGATAGGGTGTCAGACCTGATGGGAGGTCAGACCATCATAGTGCTTACTTCTTGTGCAGTTTCTAGATTTGATTGTAAAAGCTATTGTCGAGTTTATAGGTTTGTTTTCCCGTTATTGTTAGATCTGATAGTATTTATACGCTATTATTTCGCTTATATTAAATGATTTTGTTGTCTTTGTTTCCGTCATTTGGATCGGCATTAACTTTGATGGCTTGGCTTGGTTTGAGAGTCATTCGTTTCTTCTCATATTTCTTTCGTGCAATATTGAGAATCTCTGGTTGTTATATAATACCCTTCTTCTGAATGAAGAGGTCAAAAAGACCTATAATGTCTGCCTTCAATTGAAACTCATGGTCCCATTTAGGCCATTCTCTTATTTCTGACAGTGATGCTGAGAAGTCTGCTTTCTCAGACTCTTGAAAGGTTAAAAGAACAGGCATCTTAGATATGCAGGATAGATCGAGTTTGCTAAAGAGGTTGGCAATGAGACTCTTAATTATCAGATTTAAGCTAATTGTCAGAGTAAAGTGTGTGTCTGTATTCCTTTTGTCTGGAGTGTCTCTGTGTGACTGTAGCAGTTTTATGCTAAAGGGGGCTGAATTGGGTCGGAACAACTAGGTTCTTGTCAAGGCTTAGACAAACAAAGATTGGCCGGTGGGTAGATTGACACTGATATTGCTATCCTATGTACTAGTGGTAGAGTACAAGACGAGAGACGAAAAGAAAAAAGAGGAAACAAGCAAAGAGACGTTTCACGAGCCAACTATATAGAATCTCGGACAGAGATTCCATCTCGTTCCACGATGTTCTACGCGTGCTTCCAAACTATTCCAGATCGTTCCATGACAGTTCTGGTGTCTACCTATCAAGGTGCCTTCAGGGCTCACCTTTAATCCAATAATCTCATTTTTACCCTATCTGAACCCCTGAACTTCACAGTTTAAAAATATTAAATATATAATATTAAAATATACTGTAAAACAATACTTAACCAAATATATCTATTAATAATATATGTTAAAAAGCGCGAAATAAATAAATAAACTCTTATTACAATAAATACTTACCAAGTCTTATTTACTAAAGTACGTATTATTTATTAAATATAAGCTGCCAAAATAAATACGTTACTAAAATCGATTTAAAATATTTATAATGAATAGATTTAAAAAAAAACCCGTACTAATTGCTAGATTTAATCTTATTGTCAAATTCAAAGGATCTCTAAAGGTATATGCCATGTGGAGTGCTGGCTAGTCAGGTGGCTAGTTAAGGAAGCTGCTATAACTAGCACCCTGAATCGTACATTGACTTGGGAAAAGGTGGGCCAAAAGATCGTCTCTTGCATCTCCGGAGCTGTACAAATTGGTGTAGATACCACGCAAGTGAGATAGCTGAGAAATGATAAAAACAATTGCAGCTACCGCTCAAGACCACAGGCTTGTCAACCCTTTAAAATCTGACAGTTATTTATATTAAACTTGCTATACACTATAATAAAACTCCAAACAATACTATTATATAAAGTGTAGGATACAAGGTGCTATACAGGTGTGTTGGCAGCTGTTCAGGCAGCTGTATCTGACCAGAATAGGTGGTCAAAGGATGAAAGAGGTGAAGACACCACATATAGTGGCTTTCAGAGTGACAGACAAGGCTCAATTGATTGCCAGATCAATGGATGGGCGAATCTTTGTGCTTTGGTGTGATGGTTCCACTATCCATCAGGTCTAGCGATGGTCCCCATGGTCCCCGGGTCACGTGGCTGAGCACGTGACTGATCGGACGATAGGTTGATCTATGCCTTGTTAGCTCTAGTGGGGGACGACTGCCCATATCTAGCTGCCCACCAATTTAGGTGCATCTCCAGATCTTTCTTTTCCTTCAACCAGAGTTTGTAATACGTCAATAGTTAATAAGGGTCCCTGTATCCTTGCAATATATTTACGGAACCGTGAAATGACCTGTATTTTAGAACATCTTGATTTCTCTCGGGTAAAACATCCGGCAAGGTGCTCACTCCCCCTTTCACGTGATTTGAGAAACCGCCGGCACCCCGGCACTCTGGTCGCGTATCTGCAAGGGGTTCCCAAAAGGTGTCACAAATTGGTAATTAGTAATACACTTTTACCCCTGTTTTTTTGAACAGTGGAGCTGGTCAATGACAGGCTTTGAAAAAAGCGCCAGGGGTCAATCCAAAGGTTGGTTTACGCTTTCTCTCAAAGATCGATACCTTCAAAGGTCCGTGTCCAGTACCAGTTCCACAATTAAAAAAAAACAGGGGTAAAAGTGTACATCGTTAGGTTCATGGCGGGAGTCAAGGTTCAAACCCGATGCCGACGTCGCTGTTATTAGACTTCGGTCGATGCTGATACTGACATGGTGTTCCTGAATTTAATCGGACCCAAGACATTTGATCGGACAAGAGCAGGCGATCCTGGGTTATCCATGTCTTGCTTGCCCAGCTCACAACGTGGTACCATAGGGGCAGTTCGTCGATCGGAGGTGGCTAGGATGTGGCTTGCATTTACAATCTAGCGTTGGAGTCGTCTGAAAGTGAGATCCTATCATCTTTCCCAGCCCTATCTTTGTGTCACTTCACCCGTGGGTTTGGCGTTGTCCATGGATGGCTGCATAAGTGCTCGGATAATATAGACTTTATACTTTAGAACATGGGTCTGGCATATAGTCAGTACATTGCAAACCTGGATTATGATTGGAACCCAACCCAAAGCTGTACATGTACCCCTCGATCCAACTCGTCGATGGGCTACCACAATGATGCCATCATGTAACTCCAAGCTTGGTTGTCATGTGAATCCAGCGAGGAACCAGTCTCTGCCATGAGATTGCTTTCCTTGAGTGGCGACAAGGGACCGACGAAGCTGGCAAAGGGAGGGAAAATTCTTAAACAGAGATTTTTAGCAGACAAGACGATGCGGTCGTGAAAGGCGCCCTGTCCTGTCAAGTTGTCGCAAAATGATGGAAAGGCGCCAAGGGTGGGAACTCAACCCCACCATCCATCCATACCAACCCCAGCAAGCCGGGCAGGGCAAACCAGTGAACCACTGGCAGCAGCGGGACCGGCATGGGAGCTGCAGGCTCTCAGCAATTCCTCCGGGCAGGCATGGCGATCACGGATCGTGAGTGGGCATGGGTGCCCGGGCATGGACTCAAAGGACTTTGGAGTCATGGGTAGTGGTACCGCCTTCGAACTTGGGAGGAGCGCATCCGGCAAAGACGGCCGAGGTACCATCAACTTCCAATTCCTACATGCCCTGTAACGGTCGTTGTGCGGTATCGTGACGATGTCTGATAATGAGGTGTGAGGTCTGGAGGTCTAGGCTCCCGTCCCGTTTCTTCTTCGCATCTTCGTCGGAGGATATTGGATTTTGTAGGTAGCTCTCCAGCCGCTCACCACTTCCTTCCAATCAATATTGCTCCTGTCACAGTTCGGTTCACGTAGAACTTGGAAGGAGCGACATTGGAGGAGGAGAAGGAGAGACCCTCCGCAATGCGCAGTGCCGCTGCTTCCTGAACTGCCTGAGTCTAGTGCAAAGTCAATGCCCCCACCACGGTCCACGGTCCACGGTCCATGCCCATGGGTGACTGGTGAACGAACATCAGCGGTCCTCCGACAACCAGCTTTTGGCCTTGTCACTTGGGATCTCCAGCTGCTAGCCCAGCACACCACATCGTCATCATCATCATTCTTTTCTGCAACATCGCCAGCTCCCAAGAATCTATTCAGAGGCCCAATTCTGACCAGCATCACCTACGCCACCCTGCCCTTTCCGGCGAGGTCCCATCAGACAGGTTCAGTGCGCCATGGCACCCCCAGGCGAGCTGCCGCAAGGTATACTTATTACTTTCTTTGTTTGACAGCCAACGCCGACCCCACCTTCGCATTCCGCATTCCTTATACTCCCACAATTACCAAGCAAACTCCTTTGACCAAACCGCTAACACGTTCTGCTTTCGACCGACAGGTAGTTCAGACACGACGTCTGACAATCCCGATGGATCCAACAAGCCCCCCCAGCGTGCAACCGGCGTACGCTTCGCTAACACCGTCGACGAGATCGAGCCGTCCGTTGCGCCGCAGGAGAGCCTCGAGAGCGAGGGCCGTGGAGATAGCTCTGCTACACCAGAGCAGATACGTGCCTTGGCCGACTCGCTGCAAGGCGTCAGCCTCCAGGAGCAGCGCATGAAGAATTACCAGTTCATGCCCTATTCGCTCCCACCTTCAAGGGTAAGTGGTTGCGCCTCACACCCACCATATGTCGTTGCTTTTTCCGGCGCCTGGATCTCTGCGGTAAGCTTGGGCAGTCTTGAGCTGTCGCTCTTGTCTTCTTCTCTGCAGCTGTCGCTGCTTAGATGCAATGAAATAACATAGCTGAATCGAGCAACAAATTTAACCGTCACACCATGCGATTCAAGACCTTGTGGAAGTTTGTGCGCAACTAGCAACTAACAACGAATCTGCAGCTCCCATCGAATGATACAACACCCAGCGCAACTCCTCAGCCAAGCCACAGTCCAATGGGACAACGATCACCGCGGACGAGTGGGACTCCCGACCTGGCGTCACCACCATTGACTCCTGCTGGGACCTCAGCAGTGGATGCTCCAGGCAAAGCGACAAAGTCTGACCAAGCCTCGGTGTCTGATAGAGCGATAACACCGCAGGCCTCAGGGCAAGACGCGCCGCGAATAGGCCTTCCCCACCGACCATTCTCTACTGATACCCTCTCCCAGCGGAAAACTGCTGCTGACGATCACGATGGCGGCGCGCATTCGCATAGGAAGGGAATGTTTCGCATCGGACCGGGCGGACAGTCCCTTCCCGTCTCTCGAGAAACCAGTCCATCGAGAAGCACTGCCTCTCAGTTCTATTCTAGGCCATTTACTCCGCAGGGGGATGCCAACGATCCGTATGCCGCGAACAAGCGGCCCGCGCAAACCAAGGTGGCCGGTAATATTGATCCGAGATTTGTATTCACTAGGAAGAAGAAAGCTGCATCTCCATCCTCCTCATCAACAAGCTTGGCAAAGCCAGACAAACAGGAAAAGCGACACTCTGGAATCTTTGGGGCCCGAAATAAATCCGGCGACCTACACCCGACAGGCACCGGATCTACTCTACACAGTGCTCAAGGGTCAATGTCTGATTTGAAACGGTTCTTCAAGGTCGGTGGGAGTCGCAAACAAAAGAAGGCGGCATCGCCCGGCCCGTCGAAACATGCTGCGTCGGCATCTAGAGCAAGCCTCCAGGTTCCATTCGCTGAAGATCACGGCCTCACCTCGAAATACGGTAAAATCGGCCGGGTGCTTGGTTCGGGTGCTGGAGGTTCCGTCAGGCTCCTGAGAAGAGCCGAAGATAACACTGTCTTCGCGGTGAAACAGTTTAGACCACGGCACTCGTATGAGACAGAGAAAGATTATGTCAAGAAATTGACGGCCGAATTCTGTGTTGGCTCGGCTCTGCACCACGGAAATATCATCGAGACGTTGGACATCATACAAGAGAAAGGGAATTGGTACGAAGTGATGGAGCTTGCTCCTTACGACATGTTTGCCATAGTGATGACCGGCAAGATGAGCAAGCCCGAAATCACGTGCTGTTTTCTCCAAATCCTCAGCGGAGTGACTTATCTTCACAGCTCGGGCCTCGCCCATCGGGATCTGAAGTTGGACAACGTGGTTGTCAGTGAGCATGGCATCATGAAAATCATTGATTTCGGTAGTGCACACGTATTCAAATATCCATTCGAGAGCGAGATCGTTCTTGCAAGTGGTGAGTTGACGCACGTCTCTCGTGTGTGATAGATCAGCTGACGTCTTCACAGGTGTTGTTGGCTCAGATCCTTACCTTGCGCCTGAGGTCTACGATGAGCGCAGGTACGATCCGCAAGCGGTAGATATCTGGTCTCTTGCGATCATCTACTGCTGCATGTCACTTAGACGGTTTCCGTGGAAGGTGCCTCGTATGTCGGACAACTCATATAGGCTCTTTGCTATGGAGCCCACCCCTGGTCACGATCCCAAGAAGCTAGCTCTTCCATCGAGGTCTACGAACGACCTCACAGACACGCCGCAACGGGACATATTTCCTGAGGATGCTGCGGAGGCAGAGAAGGCAGAACAATCGGAGAAATCCGAGAAATCCGAGAAGTCTGAGAAGTCTGAGAAACCTGAGAGGTCTGAGAGGTCTGAGAAGTCTGAATCCAAGAAACCTGAATCATCCACGGCAACCTCCCCTGCCGAAGCGAACGCCCCAGAACGAAAGGAAGTCATTCGAGGGCCATGGCGGTTGCTTCGCCTGCTGCCTAGAGAGAGCAGGCACATCATTGGGAGGATGCTGACAATCGACCCCAAGAAGCGAGCCAATATGCCCGAGATCCTCGATGAACCGTGGGTGTCAGATACAATCATCTGCAGACAGATTGGCCCTGGACAGGTGGTCAAAGCGGAGGATCATACCCATATCCTCGAGCCGCCAGCTGCCCCTACCCCGAAATAGTACCAAAAGGATCGATGAGCAGCAGTCTTTTGCATCCTGCAATTGGACATGGTGGACGGGATACTAGTATCATTAGTCGGCGTTGATTGGTCGGGTCGTTATTTGTGCTTTGACATGTGGTCAGGACAGCGGAAGGGTGCCGATACAGGACTTTACAGGTATAGACCAGACATCGCTTTGTTGTCTATAGATTCAGAGTACTTGTAGTCTTGTACACAAATGAAAGATACAGCGTTGTTAATGTATGTACAAACAGCGTCGCCCGTCATTTGCTCGATGAGATGTGAACACTTCAAACCGAAAAGGGGGGTCTGGCTTCAGAAGCTAGCAGGGCCCCGGGATAAGCTTAGGGGCGTCGGGTCTTAATCCGAGGTCTGCCGGCATCGGAAAAACTCAGGGATAAAAGAGTTCGGGTCCAAGGCCTGCGATTCGAAAGCTTTCCAAAAGATCTACACTTGAGATAGCTTCATCCCATTTCCAGAGCTTGCGCAAGTACTTTTCCACGTCTCAATCACGAATCCGACGCTATATTCTTCAAAATGGTGAGTGCGCCCTCCCAGTAGTAGCCTGAGATGTTCATAAACTGCAGCAGCAGCTCCCTGCTTCCTGCACAGAGGAGAGCTTCCGCGCCGTCGCTCCAGCTTCTCTGGACAATCTCCCGACAGAACATCTACCACCACCGTACAGATCGCTGACCATCCATTGTGTTTACCTACCAGGCCACCTCCCTCCGATCCATCAAGTCCCTCGTCCCGCTGCTGGACCGCGTGCTGGTCCAGCGCATCAAGGCCGAGGCCAAGACGGCCGGCGGCATCTTCCTGCCCGAGTCGAGTGTCAAGGAGCTCAACGAGGCCAAGGTCCTGGCCGTCGGGCCGGGTGCCTTGAGCAAGGAGGGCTCGCGCCAGCCGATGGGCGTCCAGGCCGGCGACCGCGTGCTGATTCCTCAGGTAAGCCCATCATTGAAGCTTCCCTTCCGGACTCGACTTTGCGAAGACGGTTTGGCACGCTTTTAGTGGTTATGGTGACTGATTTTGTGGTGCAGTACGGCGGCTCCCCTGTCAAGGTCGGCGAGGACGAGTACCACCTGTTCCGGGACAGCGAGTAAGTTTTCATCCATCTCCCCCATGCAGCAACAGCAACACCTGCACTCCGAACAACTGGACTAACACACATGACCTAGGATCCTGGCCAAGATCCACGAATAAAGATACCCCCTCAGCACCAAACAACACGATTTTCTCCAACGACGAACCGATCGTATGTACCATACACAAACAACTGTACAATAAGAGGCACATAGGAAGCTCGGGTCAACACGACAAGCCTTTGCATAAAGCGATGTAATTCTGGACGGCTGGACGGAGAGTGCGGTAGAGGCGTCATCATTAGCTTGTTAGGGTAGACTTGACTTCTACGTCAATCCTACGGATGGCCTAATGGGTCTGTGGTGCAATGCGATAATCTCTACTCTCTCTACCTACCATATGGTGATGAGGCATCTTTCGTGCGATTGTGTGAGCTACGGAGACTACTGGGTCTGCGGCCAAGGTGCTGCATAGCATCTGTGTTATGTTTTGTCATGCGGTACTCTTTGCAAGAAGCTTGCGAGATCAAGCAAGTATGCAAGGGCCGTTCTCGGGGTCTGCCTGCGACGGGTCATGCTGGTGAGATGATATTAGTTGATACACATTCACTGCCGATGCATTCAGAGGGCCAGCCTACATCACAGTCTACCGGCTTGAACCCAACAGCAGTCTTCATCTTCCGCCTCGCATGGCGGACCATGTATGCCCTAACCACATGCGTCGACGAGCGTACAGCCATGGCCAATGCGCTTCCATGTACCGTTGAGCGGCTCCTACTGACGTCTTCGTGGCCACGGCAGCAGACTTGAGATACGGTTTGGACATATGATACCCCAAAGGCTGACTGCTCTTGGACACCAATTCACCAGGAGTACCAGTTTATCGCACTCTTGCTATATTTCATGGTCTGCTGTGTCTGCAGAGCTCTACGCCTCGCAAGAACCCATTTTCGATGCCAGTCAGGCACCGTAGGGGGTCCGGCGGGGTTCACTTCAGCATAGTACTGAAAATACTGGATGGAATCAGAAGCCCTGAGGGTTGTTGTTCGGTGTGTGATTCGCATTCAAATGCGTAGAACATGTATTGATTGGAGTCCTGGTGAGTAACATGGTTCGCGTAGCAAAGTCGACTATGTATTTCTTTATCAGCTATTACTGTTGAGATGGTAACTTTCCATTTGGTCGGTGGGTATGAACTTTTGACCGGCGATGCTATGCAACCCACGGCACTAAGGTTAGAAGACAACGCCGCAGAATGGGGTCAGATTGCGGGCGTGAGTAGCCCCTGAGGTGGATGTCAAACCAGACAGGATAGAGAGGAAGTTATACTGAACAGGTTTGGTACGATTGTCGATTACCCACGTCTCAAGTATTATATTCAGAAGCAGTCAATTTATTACCGCCGAGTTCATACTAATTTCGTACCCAAAGTGTGAAAAACTCAGCAGCAATTCTCTACCCTGACGCCCCAAATGCAACCGCACGCTCCGCTACCTTGTCACGATTAGTCTACTATGCAGAAGTCTGATATTCACAAGAGCTTACATGGACCTGGTTCCCTCTCGGACCACTCTCACAATGTTTCCTCCTCTCGCCGTATCCTGTACTCGGCGGCGGAGAGTGCCCTGTGCTCCAGATCGCCGGAATCATCATACCAGAAGTCCCAGCGATTCACGAAGCTCCGCCGTAACCAAGGCCGATTGCTGCTTCGATGAAATGAGAGGCAGGATGGGACGGCGTAGCTATCGGGTACGTAGTCCAGCAGCAGCTTGGTCACATTCACTCATTCCTCGGCCTGGTCTTGGTGTATTGACCACCTTGAGCCGTCTGCGCTACCAGGGAGAGTGCCATGCGCCCATGAGTGTCCTTTAAGGTGGCGCTCGCCCCTGCTTTGAGCAGCGATTTGATTGCTGCCTGATACAGTCGACGGCGGGCCATCTGCAGATAGTAATTCATAGCCTGCTGACTCAGGGAAGTTTCCAGGTTGTCGGGTTTCATGTCGAGTATCATGTCGAGCATCATGTCGAGCATCATGTCGATAATCTACGGAACCCTATCTTCTGCATCGAGTAGATAACCTAGTGTATTTAAATCTCGAGCCGGCGCCGTGGGGAAGAGGGATCTTGGAGCCATGCTCAAGGAAGAGTCTCGCCAGTTTCCACTGTTTGAGCTGGATGGCCAAGCGCACAGGAGAGAAAGGGCAGCCTATCTGAGGGTGGGTGAACGTCAGCCCCTGCCGCGATCAGTCTTCGAACAACACCGCCTCGGCTGGCTTCAAATCCTTTTGACACGTAACAGCTTGTGAAACCATCTTGATTTCCGCGCATATAGTAGCGTGGCTGATGAAAAGGGGGCGTGCAGCGTATTTCCAGGGGTCGAGCCCTGCCCAATCGATTTGACTTCCAGGAGGCGTGGACATAGGCAGATCGATTGACGAACTCGATCGCTTCGGTATCTAAACCCAGGCGGCAAGCCTCGCGAAGAACGGTGCAGCCGTAGCCGGAAACTTCATCCAAGTTGGCGCCACGATCCAGCAGCCAGCGAGTAACGTGATGCCCGCCATCGTCCTGAACGGTAGAATCAGAGCAGGCATCTGTATTGCTGAGGACCAGCTCAATCGGTAACAGTGAGATGTAGACCTAGAACCGAGGGTGAGTTCGATGGTTTTGCAAAGCAGGAGATGGATGGGCCATGCAGTGACTATCGCAGGAACCGTGCTGGTGATAGCCAGGTGTGGAAAGTTGGGAGGCAAAGGGCTCCAACATTTCCACTAACGCCAGAGGGATGTGAGATGATCTCCATCCCTGACATTGATATCAATGCTCTAGCTGCCTTGAATAAGAAGCTGAACAGTCGGGAGACAATTGTAGGCCGCCGGAATGTGGAGAGCATTTAGATCTAGACTGCAATTTATGTCGACATCTATCGAGGATCCAAGCGACAGCAGCAGTGTAACGGTACTGTGCCTGCGACCGCACAGAGCTGAGTGCAGCGGCGAGCGTAAATTATACCACCGTTCCGTACGATCGTTGGTACAGAAGCAATGTGACGGCGGGTTGACGAAGGCACCGTTGTCGACAAGCAGCTGAATAACACTGTCGTGTCCGGCGTTCGCGGCGCTGTGTATAGGGAACCAAAATTTGGCACGTCGGGCCAGATCCAAGTATTTCAAAACACCAACCGTATCTGGGTGATAGGTCGTTCCCATGTTGGTCCACGGCGTCCCCTCCTCACGCTCATCGTCGCTGTACCACTCTTGGCAAATGGGTTGTCGCCCCGCACTCGCTTCAACAAGGCCGCGTACATATCATGAGAGTAGACATGGTCGAGCACCATCCTCGCGTTGGTGCCGTCGATCATATGCGCCGGCCCATTGCATTCTGCGCGCTCGCGATCCGGAGACCTCGTCACGTAAGGCCGGTTCGGGTCTGCTCCGGCAAGTAGTAGTCTTCTCACAAGGTCGGCATATCCAAACTCAGACGCCCAGCACAAGACATATGGGTAGTCTTTGACAGCTATCGGTATAAGCTTGAAGTCTGCAAGGTCATGTAAACGCTTGTTGGTGGCGGATAGTGATGCTAGATCTGGTTCGGACAGGTGACCGACGATGCTCAGGATGATCTCGTTTGGCAACGACAACAGCGAGGCATGTTGGATGGGCGTAGGACTTTATAGCAATAGTTTAGAGCAACACCAGTGATTCAGGGTGCGAAATGAAATGATCCAAGCACAAGCAAGGGTATACAGGTCAGACGAGGTTGAGAGGAGAGTTTCCATTTGGGCCTGTGGTATGATGGGTAGATATGAGCTGAGAGCCCCGGGAAGACATGACTGCCATATCTTAATATAGCCTGGCCTGGCACGCTCGTCTTTGATGGCGGTTGGCGGGTTCTGTGAAGATGTTAGCGAAAGACTGGTTGTTGGTGTTGACTGTTGGGCGAGAGTGTGGATCCAGCTGATTCCAGCTGTCAGGTGTCTTGTCGGTGGGGCCGGATTGTTGCCCAAGGGACAAGGTACCGTTTGCACTGTATCTAGACTAAAGAGACCTTTCGGATGGGACAACCTCCCATCCTTCTAGACAGCAAGCAGAACATCCAGAATACTAGTCATCGTAACATGGTATTCTGGGCCCCTGCCAGAAGGCACAAGAGTAGCATTGAATATGCTAATAATATATTGCAGCAACGTAGCTTATGATGTTATCGAGGCGCGGGTCCGAGTTCAGGAGCACGAAATTGCATGTGGCTCGTGCACTGCTACGACCTCTCGCAACTTTAAACTTGCACACTTGCGTTCTTGTCCTTTCAACACAAAGCCTCCGCGTTTCGAAAATGGCATTGTTGGTTCGATCAGCCTTTGACGGATTGCAATTCGAGCGAAGACTCGTGGAATACTGGTGACGAACACCAATTGCGTTTTAAGCAGTGAGTCGTTGGAGATGCCAACCAACTAGGTCTTGAAACATCTGACCAACCGTAGTATCGCCACTGTGCTCAAGGCACAAAGACACACGGGTCCAGGTTGATAGGCCAACCAACAGAGAATTATGTCGAACAAAGAAGCTCGGGACTTATGTTTCAATATCCCTGAGAGAAGGCTGGTCGATTGGTTTGGCGGATGATAAAGGCTACGCACGAGGGAGCCCCTGAGCGCAGATGCATGCACGAAGGCTCCTGCAGCTAGAGAATCAATTTTCAACTTTGCAACACACCGACGTGCTAGAGCCATGAGACACCGTGGCCCGGATAGTGCTGCGGTCATGGTGCGGGTGAACTGTGATGCAGAAATGAATTTGGGTGTCGGTAGGTAGGCGGGTAGGTTTGGTGATCGGACGGACCCTGTCCTCCATGCTGTATCCCCAAGGGCGCTGGCTTAGGTTTGTTTGCTCCCCGGAAATCTTGCGCTGACTCACATATCTGGTGCCTGTTAAAGGCGGCTGGATATCTCAACCCTCGTTCCCCCTCTCTCAAACCTGCTGTTCATCTTCGATCATCCAGGGAAGCGCCCATTCTTCCCTTTGCCCCCTTTCCTTCAATCGCGGAATCCTTGTTTACATCCGCGAACACGTTCTTTTGAGCCACCTTCTACAAACCAGCTTCCGCGAAGCTGTCGATTCACACTCATTCTGGGTCAAACACTCGTTACTGCTCGCATACAGACTCCAGTCATTCTTTCTTCGCCTCGAGTACAGGAACGGAACGCGTCGAGTACGCCCGTAGTAAACACAGCACCGGGTCAATTCTGAGGTCTTGTGCCACCAGCCGAACTTTGCAATTCACGTCTGGCAACATGATGCACTGCCCTTCCCTTCTTCTCGCCATCGCGGCGATCCTCGCCTCGGTCGTGGACGCTCATACCATCTTCACGACGCTGTTCATCGACGATGTATCTCAAGGCGACGGCACCTGCGTCCGAATGAACATGGACCCGCAGCAATGCACGAGTCCAGTCTCGAGCCTGTCCAGCGACGACATGGCTTGCGGTACGTATTCAACTCCCCCACGGTGGGTACAATAACTAAGACGAGTGCAGGAGCAAGCGGCGAACAACCCGTTGCCTTCGCCTGTCCTGCCCCAGCCAGCCAAAAGCTTACCTTCCAATGGCGAACGTGGGCCGACGCAGAGCAGCCGGGAGCATTGGACCCTTCGCATAAAGGTAAGCGGGTTACGACAGAGTTGGGATATGGCTGGAAGTGGCAATGAGGGGCTAACCTCCGCTGCTTGCAGGTCCCTGCGCCATCTACGCCAAGCAGGTCCAAGACATGACCAGTACCTCCGCCGCCGGACCGGGCTGGATCAAACTCTGGGACGAGGGCTACGACGCCTCCGCGGGCAAGTGGTGCACCGAGAAGCTCATCGCCAACCACGGTCTGCTCTCCTTCGACACCCCGGAAGCGCTGCCAGCCGGCACCTGGCTCTTCCGCCCCGAACTGCTTGCCCTGCATAACGCCGTACAGGGTGACCCGCAGTTCTACGTGGGATGTGCACAGGTGTTCGTCGAGAGCAGCAATACGGCTCCGCTCGCCGCGCCCGACGATAGGAGCGTCAGCATCCCGGGCCACGTACAGGCCGGCGATCCGGGTCTCACCTTCAACATTTACGCGCCGAAGTTCCCCTACACCATGCCCGGGCCACAAGTCTACGTACCGCCGGTGCCCAAGACAACTATCTCGACATCAGGAGCCAAAGTCCTACAGCAGACCGAGGGCGTCGTGCCCGCCAACTACCTCATCAAGAACGCCAACTGGGTTGGCACCGAGCTCGCGGACTATGCAACGGAAGACGGCTGTTGGAACGCGTCCGAAGCCTGCTGGGACCAGGCCGCCGTGTGCTACGACTCGGCGCCGCCGTCGGGGAGCGCAAACTGCCGTGTCTGGGAGACGAAGTGCGAGGGCATACAGCAGGACTGCAGTGCTGGAAACTTTGTGGGGCCGCCGAATAAGGGGCAGAAACTGGTGAGCCAGGAGCCCGCGTCGCCGCCGAACCTCCCGGATGCTAGGAATGCTCGCTCTTAGGGGTGGTGGAAGGGAGGTGCTATTGATGAGAGCTCAAGCTGCTGGGTGGCTTTGGCCATTGATTCTTGTATTAATAGCACCACGTCACCATGCGTGCTAGGGAGACTGACGCGCTTTGTGCGCGTCATTGCTTCATGTGTCACGAGTATACGAACAAATTGTCCAGGCGTCTGTCCGTGTCTTTGTCGAGGCATCCGTCCGTGCCATTGTCCAAGCGTCTGTCTGTGTCTTTGTCGAGGCATCCGTCCGTGCCATTGTCCAGGCGTCTGTCTGTCCCATCTTCTCAGTAACCTGCTCACTCATCTGAAGTAGCCCGAGACAGCAGCCGACGCACCGCCACCACCATCAGCGATACCAGCAACAGCACCAGCAACAGCACCAGCCATACCTTCCGAGGTTTCGGTGCGCGTCGTCAACCCTCTGGACAAGACCAAACCACGGAAACTACATATCCAGAACATCAAACCTTAACTGGGAAAGGCACCAGACTCGTCCACTCGACGGAAAGGAACGACTACCTTGGGCGAATTTGGGATAAGAGAACTACTATGGGAGCGAGACAGTCCGGGACCAATATTGACGCCAGAGGACTCAGCTCACGCACTCGATTGACGAAGCCCCTCACCGCGAACACCATTGCCCAACAAGCCGCCGATCGTGGGGACGCGCTCCAGTCGCTGCGTGACGACCAACCTGGCAGCATGACGATCCGTCCAGCCCAGAGACCCAGAGCTTCAGAAAATTCTAACCCCGAAATATGTCACATTTTCCCTCACTCCAGTCTTTAGTCTCGTCACACGGGTCCGGCTCTTCGAGCTCTTCTTGTGGTTACGATAAGCATATTGTCGACCGTTATGAGAAGCTTTTGGTTTCCGAGGGCAGCATTACCGACACAACAGCGAACATTGTTTCCATGAACCTTATGCTGCATTAATAGTAAGGTGCTGCCAAGTTTAACTTGAAGCTCATTGCCAGAATAAAGGACGGTGTTCGAGTCGAGGTTCATTAGTTCAAAACAACGGGAATCGAGGAAGTTTGAGAGTTCGTACCTATCGACACGGATCCGCATAGCCTACTGAGGGAATGCTTGGGCAACGGACTCAATAGGATGTCTGACTACAGAACATACAAGCCTAGCTAGAACCTCCATAAGTCGATTTATCTTTATCTTTAAGCTCTTCGACCGGAAGGGAGGAGCCAAACCCAAATACCCCAAAAGACAACAAAAAGCAGAGCCCCGTGCTGTACGCTAAGTCTATCATAAGTCTCCATACACCCTCGTTTAACGAGCAAGGGGTATGTTTATTGTAAATGGAATCAACACTCTGGGATAACTTTAGCGTTAAGCATGGCTTCTTAGACCAAAGCTGCTTGTTCCATCAAAATGAACATGGCAGTAATATACGTGACTGGAGAGAGGCATGCCGGGCGGAGACATAGGCTGGGCTGGTTGTACCTATCTGAGTTTTGCACCGTGCTCCGGTTCCAGCCCGGGCTAAGGTATTCAGACATTCGGTCCCCTGAGCTTTCGCGACTCCAGAGGTGGCCGGCCGTCAACGAACCATGGTACTACATGTACTACTGGCTGCTTTATGAATTACGAGCAGCACGAAACCGCAAACGATTCTTTGCCTGAAGCGTTTATGTTAATTTCATACCTCGACAATTCAGAACATCTATTGACTACAGCAAATACCATAGGAGTAAAGTGAGGTTGAGTTTCGATGGGCGTGTAGTTACATTGAGCCGCATCTTGCTATCTCGGACCTTTGGGATGCTGCATGGGAGATCTGACATCATCTGGAAAGAGGTTTTCCTCCTAACTAATAATACCGACTCCAGACTCCAGAGTCGCACCCCATCAATCTTGGCAGCTCCAGCTGTTTGCATTTTGATGTGCGAACTGGACTAATCAGAACGGATGTAATTGTCATGCTTTGCTCTCAGAGGCCCGCTTTGTCAGGGGGATCATCCGCGGTTTTTAAGTGGGTGTGGGGAAGTCGATAGAACCTGCATCCATGGATGGTGTCGAGGGGTGTATGCAAGGAAGAGCAAGCGTGGGTAAGTATAGGTGTGTATGGCATACCGTGACAACATCGTAAAGCCTCCTGGCGAAAGATCATTATGATGCTGAGTACCAAGTGAGCATGAGCTGGCAAGGATCAAATCCCGTGAGTTTGACTTGTTTGGCTTGTTTGATAAAATTGATTGATTGATTTGATCATATCTTATCTGCGTGCTGACGCATAAGATGGGGCTAGATAAAAAGGCTTGGCGCAGGCGTGGCAGGGTGTACCCAGCCACCGGGAAGAGAAAGCTGAACCTTCAGGCTCCAGCCTTCCTCGCAGTCTGCAGAGGCGGAACAGGTGTGCTTTGGGTGTGTATGACAAGAGTGCGTGGTCAGGATCTTAACTGTAGAATCAGTTCACACGGAGAAAAAACTTGAACAGGAAGAGCGAAAAAACCAACTCCGAGTCGGCTGGGGCGAGCTGCTCGGACATAGTGGACAGCCCGGACATGACTCTCGAAGGAGGATTATCGGCACTCCAAAATAGTGGCGTCCGCCATCCTCCGAGTCGACCTCGCACGAGATTGATATGATAAGGTAGCTGGCTGTCGGCTGGGCTGATGAATCTTCATACAAAGCGACTATTGGATATCTTGGCCGTCAACTGACTGCCGAAGAAGGTGTGCTGACAGTCCTTTGCAGACCGCCCTTCCTGGAGATGCAGACGCAGATGCAGGTGTGCACGATGGCTGAATCAGGCAATCCCTCGCTGCAGGTGGCAATTTGCATTTATCGGCAGGCGGTGATCACGATAATGATAAGTTGGTATGCACATTTAAGTTATACTGTGTAAGTGACGAGTCTACGGGTGGAGCCTACCTGCAGCCTGGACGCAGCAAGACAAACCCCCTGTCCCAGAGACTAGCCAATCAGACGACGCCGAATGATAATCAGATTGATTCAGCCGGTGCGCCGACGCCGGGATGGGGCTCGACAGGGGGCGTGGGGGGTCGCTTTAGAGTGGCAGACGTGCGCTAGACGAGCCTAGAGGGAGTCTGGCGGGCCTGGGCACGCTTCGGCAGGCAGGCAGTCTGTCTCCGGTGTTCGTCTATCTGCTGCTTCTGCCTTCGTCCTCATCTCGAATGCTGCCCGTCTCGATCTATCCCTCCGCCGCCAGCCTCAGATCCCATCCTCTTCGAACAACCCCATTCTCCTACCAGTCGGCTCACCACCCTGACTGCTTACGGAACACTGCCTGCTGCCCTTGGTACTGGCAGTATTCATACCACCGAAGTGGCGGAGCTGACCTGTTACTTCTTGGCTTCACTTACACCGACACACATCGTGACCCAGCCATAACATAAGCAATAAGCCCGTCCGTTGGCTGGTGGTCTGTCACCGTCTCAACCTTCACCACACACACCGTGCCGTACCATACCACGTCACTCCACCTATTGTCTTCCGCCTCGTCATTTGAGAAGCACGAGCCCAGGTGTCCCCACGAGCCTCCAGGGGATCGGCTTTCCCGTCCGAGACCCCAGACTTTTCACTTTCTCTTAGCCCCATGACCCAGCCGCCGGTAATCAGATCTTGATTTCTGCAACCTCCTTCCGCCCATATTCCATTCCCATCCCTTTGTTGTCCTGCAATCTATCATCGAGGCTCCGGACCCCTATGAGACACCAACACTTGTACCTTGCCTCCATAACACTATCGTCATCCTTGTTACTTCCCCGACACGACAAGCCTTGGCTGTGCGCAACCAACCTGTCCCAATCCCCTTGGGGCTGTTGTACTACCGTGGTTTTCTACAACATCCAACGCATCTGTTGTCGCAAGGGAACGTCACTTCTCTTGCTCCATCACTTTAGTACCTATTCAATTGGGTAGTCTGGAGCTACGAGCGTTCAGTGTTCTCTTCGACTCACCAGTCAAGCACAATCTCCGAGGATTCGCTCCCTCCGCTGTTGACATATCCCATAAACTACACTTGGCATCTAGTCAGATTCTCCCGGGAAGCTTGAACCGTGGTATCAATGATGGAGGTCGTCCGGCCTTCGTACGACAGACTCCCTAGAGAAGACCCTGCTTCCATCCGAACTGCCCTACCGTCGCGGCCTGTCAACTCGAGAGAGGGCACGCAGCCATCCGAGGCTATGGACTTGCAAAATGGAAGTTCTGTAGGCTCAAGAAGTCCAGCAGCACAAAGCTTTGCTGGATCCTCAGACGCTGCGAGTCCGTCATTTCTGGGGTCTGATAGAGTCAATTCGAAAAGCCCGTCTCCGTTCGATCTGAAACACCCAGAGATGAACATAAAGAGCAGCCCAAACCAGAGCGGACAAGTGTGCAGGTATGTATCATGGTGTGTCGGTGCTTTCAGCAACTAATTGTGATCAGCAATTGCGGTACTACAAAGACACCACTATGGAGACGCTCACCCCAAGGTGTGACGATATGCAATGCGTGCGGATTGTACCTGAAGGCACGCAACTCTTCTCGTCCAACCAACTTAAAGCGGCCACCCTCGGTTGTTTCTACTACACCAAAGAAGACAACAGAGGAAGCACCGCCTGCGTCCTGCTCGCAAGCAAACTCTGCGAATATTCCCGGCGCAACTTATGTCGCTGCCGATCAGACACCCACGGGATCTTGCCCGGGTGGTGGAAGATGTAACGGCACAGGTGGCGCGGAAGGATGCGGTGGGTGTCCAGCCTACAACAACCGAGTGGCCAAGAGCGCTCAGCTGCAAAATCAACATCAAAATCAGTCCTGCGGTAAAGGAAGAGACGGCAAGTCACCAGAGGGTCCGACTCCGATAGACATCAATGCCCAGCAAAGTCACGGTCAGGGCCAGAATACGACAGTGGTCATTGCGTGCCAAAATTGTGGTACAACAATCACTCCCTTGTGGCGCCGCGATGAAGCTGGGCATACCATCTGTAACGCATGCGGTAAGTGATACCGAAAACATGGTCCATCGTGTTACTAAACTTGCTAGGATTGTACTATAAACTACATGGAGTTCACCGGCCTGTGACTATGAAGAAGTCGGTCATCAAACGGAGGAAACGCGTCATACCAGCAAGTCAGGAGGATGATGCGGCTGACACTGCTATGGAGGGTGTAATGGCCCTTGACTCGGTGGAGCAAGCGAGTATATACGCTGAATCTGACGTGGAGCGTGGCACTCAGAATGAGGATGGTTCTGTCAATTTGGGATTTCGACGGAAATCGGATCACCCCTCAACGCTACTCCCGAAACCCGTCCGGTCTAGCCAAGGGTCGACGCCGTTGCCTCCCTCGACAGATTTGATGGCATATCATACGACAGCTCACGCCCCGCAGTCATTCTATATACGCGATTCACTCACCGACGATAATCGTTTGGCTCCCCTGACCTCCATCTCGGCTGCGAGCAATCGTCAATACTCTCTCTCGCCTGCCTCGTTCCTGTCGCCGTCAAGACGAAAGCGCTCCTTTTCGGCAACCGATTCGGATGTTCCGCCAAACGAATTTGGTCAGGACAACTCCAAGAGGCTGTCTTCGATCAAGTCAATTCTCAACAACCCAGCCACTGGCTCAAGTGGGAACTACAATGCATCTGAAGATGGAGAGTCGCTGCGGTTGCGCTCTCCTGTCAGTCTGTTGATGCCAGCGCCTAGTCCGAGCTCATTTTCGATCACATCAAGCATGCTCCCTAGTATGCATTCGAGAGAAACCACTGCTGAGAGCGAGAGGTCCAAGGCCGACAGGCGAGCAGCGCTTCATCAGGAGGCTGAACGCATGCGCGAAATGCTTGCAGCCAAGGAAAGGGAGCTAGCGGCTTTGGGAGAATAGGGATTGTCCTTGTTTATGCTGTAAACATTTGGTTTTCCTCGAGCGGATGGCCTTCACGGCACAGGAAAATAGAACGGGTCTACGAGAACACTGTCATGGTGGTCTCTAAAACTCCGCGGCGCTTTTGGCGGTACATTGACCATGTACATGATATGGACGGCGCATTTGCTGCCTAAATGGGTTCAGCGGGAGTCTACGGAGGCAGGCTCACTTGCTGCCTACGGTTGTGCGACTCTACACGGCGCTCATAGGGACGAGTCATGTCTCGAGGAGGCTCGGCGCAGGGTCGACTCGGCACTAGGAGTCAGAGGTCAAGTCTTCAACCTTGCACATGCTAGCCTAGAAATATTCACTATACCAGATTAACATGTAATGAAACTTGTACTGGCACATTATCGTTCAAACCTTTGGGCAAGAGCATCGAGCCATGATGTGATGAATTAGTTGCCTCTTAGACACAATTTTCAAATAAGCCACAGCACCCAGATGCCCCCGTTTGCAGTGTCTACGTGCCAACCAATAAGGTGGCATACCGCGGTCTTCGGGAAAGATTCTCGTTTCACAATGATGCGGCATCACTCGGGTCAATACGAAGTCCTCGATGTTGTGAAGCATCGGCACCAAGTCGTAGGACAGCCACGGCTTACCAGTCCGGGTGATATATTTGCTGGATTATATTTTCCCATGTCCTAGTGACGTGGGAAATATACCGAAGCAGATGCCAACAACTGCGACAAGAGGGGGGATTTGGTACCGGTTCCAGGCAGCAACACAAGAAGTCATCATGGATGAGGTCCAAGGCTGGCTCAGCAGGTCTCGCCACCGCTTCCTGAGACCTCTGCGCGGGTTCCCGTCACTCAACGCACGCAGGTGTTTGCTTGACATAGAGTTGATTGTTTGATCTTAGCTTCAAGGAATGTCCGGTGGAAGAGTCACTCCGCTCGGATCAAGATTGCGAACGGCAGACATCACATTTACTAGTTCAGATCCGGTCCCATGCGTTTCCGACGGTAAGCCCATGTTTGGGTCTAGATAGGTGAGGTATTCGGATGCTGCACCGGTGATTCTTCCAGTGACTTGGGGCCTCTTGAGGTGTGACATTACACCAGGCTTACGACATTGGCACCTATGTGCATGGGCCATAATGAACTAAAGGGGATGTCAACTTGGAGCGTTCCGCAAGTAAGTGATGGCAGTCATATATCGCTTCCTCTGTCTCCAATAATATGTCTCGAACAAGTCGGACCAAAACACTGTCATTAGCAGTGTGCCTATTCCTTACCTTCGTCTTAGATACACCGCTCACGAAGTTTTTTGGTTTGTGACCAGTAAAAGCCACACACTCACGCCTAAAACAGTAACTGGGAATGGACTTTCTCATACAGCTTTTAGCTTCAGCCTGGCTCCCAAGCGAGGCTGCCAGAGCCGTCGTAGCTGTGAGAGAGTTTCTCCCAACTCCGCGTCGACACAACGAGCCTCACAAAAACAAATATTTTTCTTGGCGCCCCGCTGTTAGGGCGCAACCTTGATATTTGCACTAAAGCAGGCACTTCTCTCAGTAACTGACTATCTCTGCCAAGGCACAAGAGAATTTTTCTCACAAGCCGGATGGCACCCTTCCACGACGGGCCCCCAAACACGCCCGTGGCCGTCCCGAAGACGACCACCGGCGGCGTGCTCAAATCCCCCGCCCCTAGAAAGACATACGGCCCGGCAACTCCGAGCAGGCTCCGCCAGGCGCTGCTTGACGACATCAGCAGCAGCCCGTCACAGGTCTCTAAGGCTGACTTCACCGTTATTTCCCCTCTGAAAGGAAAATCCCGAAATATCAATAATAACAGCACCACTGGAATGAAACGACCTTAATTGAACAAAATCTCAACAGACCAAGCCATTACACGCGATATAGGGAATAAAACCTCTTCCTTAGAGTGCCAGGACCAAGTTGCCAGAATACTGGCTAAAGACAAGCACCTTTATGAAGCCAGGATGACAATGTTTCAAGAGTGTGTTACAACGGTTGATAAGACACTTGAGAAAGCTGGAACCGAACTATACTCTCATGCCAAGGAGTTCAGCGCTTTCTTCTCTAAATGTCTGAACGAGTGGCTGGAAACCCGAGATCTGCCCAAAAGGAAGACCATCCCTAGGGGGACAGGGATGGTAAAGCCCACCATGACCTTTGCCCAAGCTGTCTCCTCTAGCAAACGACAGCATCCATGGACAGTCAACACTACCATAAAGAAAACACAGCCTGGTGCCCGTATCACTGCCAACCAACTGAAGAAGAAACAGGATGATCTCTGGGTCTTTATCCGCATGGATAATAGCCATCTAAAGCCTTACAGAATAAAGTCTATACTGAATAGAAGACTTAAGCTCCACCCTTAAGAGCTTAAAGAAGTGACCCGGTGCCCCTCCGGATTTACCTTATACCCAAGGGACAAGCCAACTCAGGCTAAGCTCCTGGCCTTCCAAGAAGAAATCACTGATATTCTCAAGGCAGAAAAGATTGAGACCCACACGGTCTGGTATCACTATAAGGTCAATGGATGCCCAAGAAAGGTCATCAATGCAGAAGAATTAATAATCGATATTACCGACATTACTGTTACTAATGAAGTTAAAACCCAAACAGGTGACAGACCTTTAAGGTGCATATTCTTAAGGAACACAGTTGATTCTGATGCAGAGACCACATAGGTGATCTCTCTGCCCTGTGCAGCAAAGAAACCATTTATGCTTTTTGCTCACTTAATGACCTCAAGGCACATTCAATACTCCCCCAAGGGCCGTATGGCGCAATGGTCAAATGCGCCTGGTTGTGTTCTCGTTTGTGCGGTGGGCGACGAGAACAAGTGGGTTCGAATCCTGCTATGGCCCCCTTTCTGACCCGGCTTGTGCGAGTCGATAACCAGCACACGACAGTGGAGAGGCCCCATTTTATCGCAGAGCCCGATAGCCAAGCAGCTTGTCTCCACAATACCCACTCCTGCGAGGTTTTCCCCCTTGTGGTTTCCCTCGCCAGCAGATAACAAACACCTACTCCACCCACCAATGCGACATATATCGAACGGCTACTGGAACGATATGTACACCAGAGAACTGAGGTTCACTGGGTCGCTTTGTCACTAGATAGGAGGTTTTTCTGACGGAATCGTGCTTGGGTATTGACTAAAACCATCTGAACACTCCAGATTGGTACCGCTACAGCGAGGATAGGCTCGTGCGCGGATCTGAATGTATCTAATTTGACACCTCTACAACCTTGCGATGCAATGGCTCTGGGAGGCGTGGTTTGCACTACTGAGGAGCTACCCCCCACGTTAAATACAAAACAAACAAACAAAAACAAACAAACAAACAATACTCCCCCAAGGTTCACCAGTGTGCGAGCTGCTTTAGATACCATAGTAGGAACTACCAATGTGAAAAGCAAGTATATGCACATTGTGCCAGTACAGTACACTAGGGGGAGTGCAAAAAACCAATCTCAAAGTGTGTCAACTGTAAAGGACCTCATGCTGCCAACTTCGACAAATGCCCTGCACGCCCCAAGGTTATAAAAGGCATCATCTACAAGCACACATAAGAGAAAATCCAGGAAATAAGGCTGGCTGGAGAAAGAGCCAGATCCAAGGCCTTCAATAAAGCAGGCAGAAACCAAGCTGGGTCAACACCTAGCAACAATAACAAAGACATCACAATGCAAATCGACACAACAGATACAACTCATCCCAGAGATGCCGATACCATTGTTGTCAGTCAATATTAGGTACATCAAACAAAACACATCGACACGGGCATCTAGTCATCCATTCTATGAATACAGTAGGAGGACAAAAGAGTGCAGGCCTTACAGAGTTAGCCATTAACCTGGCTGACTACAAAGGAGAACAAGCAGACATCATTCTGATGTAAGAGCCCTGGGTTGGCATACCCCCAGGCAGGAGAATGGGAGTAAAGACACACCCTAATTACAATATATACTCCCCAGTGGATTCCTGGGACAGCGATAGTACACGGCCCAGATCTCTCATTTATGTAAGAAAACACCTTTAAGTGGATTAATTTTGGCCCTATGCTACACAAGACATCACCTGGGTCAAGGTATAAGGCATTACATTTGTCAGTGTCTACCGGCCATGTGACAACCCACAGGAAGTGGATGATATTCTGGAAGTATGGACTCCACCTTTTGGCTGCGTTATAGCTGGAGATTTCAATGCTGGCGACACATCCTGGGACTTGAGCAATCCAGGATATCATGGTGGTGTCATACTTGCACAGACTATGGCAGACCACGGACTGGATCTGATTTCTGAACCAGATGTCCCAACACATGATGACAGAAATGTACTAGATCTGGTGTTCTCAGATATCCCCATGGCTGAAGCCTCAGTCAATGATACACTTCAGTGCACCTCAGATCATGAGACATTACGAATAGTTGTCCCAATTCAGGGAAATCTAGACCGAGTCCCTAAGACCAATCATTGGATAGTACCGGACGATAAACTACAAGAGCTGGCAGACAATGTCCAAACCAGGATCCATGAACTCCCCCGGCTGGGTGTATCCCCTGGCCAGGTAGATGCCTTTACACAAAGCTTGATCAACATGATCCAAGGCTGTATCAGAACAGTGAGCAAAAAGCCCCATCAATCTAGGCCCACTGCTTGATGGAATGATGACTACAAAGCAGCTGTTCAGACATACAGGGCCCTTTCTAAACAGACTATAAACCAAGAAAGGCAGAATTCAGCCCGACAGGAATTTTGCCACGTGGTTCGGAAAGCTAGGAGAGAATACTGGCAGACTCTAATTGATTCAGCAACTGAGCCAAAGGACCTATACAGAATCGTCTCTTGGCACAAGTTATCAGCAGGATTGCGTTCCCCTCTAATTATCATAGGAGACCAAATATTCGAGTCATAAAAGAGCAAGGCAAATACATTACACTCAGCCACGCTTGAACGAAGTACCTCAGATAACGATATCATCGACCCCTGGTCCGCTCAGATCACACAAACCAAGCCATATATCCCCCTTGAATACCATGTCGGACTGGAAGAGGCTGAAGGGTGCACTTTAGAGACCAAGAGCAACTCCCCGGGAATAGATACTGTCAAGGCTTAGACGAACAAAGATTGGCCGGTGGGTAGATTGACACTGATATTGCTATCCTATGTACTAGTGGTAGAGTACAAGACGAGAGACGAAGAGAAAAAAGAAGAAACAAGCAAAGAGACGTTTCACGAGCCAACTATATAGAATCTCGGACAGAGATTCCATCTCGTTCCACGATGTTCTACGCGTGCTTCCAAACTATTCTAGATCGTTCCATGACAGATACCCTCACAGTACGGATTCTGAAAGCTTGCTGGCCATTCATTGGGGAACATATCAGAGCCCTTTTCCAGACCTGTCTACAGATTGGACACCACCCTAAACCATTCAAAGTAGCTGAGGTGGTGATGATCCCAAAACCAGGAAAGAAAGACTACTCCAATCCCAGGGCCTACAGACCAATATCGCTATTGTCGTGTCTTGGCAAAGGCCTAGAACGACTCATTACGAAAAGAATTACCTGGTTTGTTGTCAAACTTGAAATTCTAGCTCCATAATATTTTGGAGCTCTACCAAAGCGCTCTGCCACTGACCTGGTAGCTGCACTCATACACAATATTGAGCAGGCCCTCGACCAAGGCCTCGTTGCAACAGTAGTCACGTCAGATATGAAAGGGGCCTTTGATGCTGCCCTAATGGGACGGCTGGTGGTTCGCATGAGAGAACAGGGCTGGCCGGGCTTTCTTATAAGATGGGTCTAGTCATTCATGTCTGAGCGGTCCGCAAAGGTTCAGTTTGAAGGTATTGTGACCGATATTAAAGCTCTCACTTGTGGGCTACCACAAGGCTCACCAGCTTCTCCAATCCTTTATATGCTATATACAGAGCCAATCTGTGCCCAACTTGGTATGAAAAAGAGACGCTTTGGATATGCAGACAACCTAGCGACTCTCTTTATTAAAAAGAACCTTAAGAAAACAGCTACAAAGGCTTCTAAAAATCTTTACTTGTTTAGTCAATAGGGACATAACAACGCTATTGAATTTGACCCTGACAAAACCGAGATCATGTACTTCTTAAGGAAAAAGAACTCAGACAACCCTCCAGTCCGCCACGGGACAATGAACAAAACAGCAAAGGACTCCATGCGATGGCTGGATGTCTTTTTGGATAAAAAACTAAATTTCAAAAATCACGTTTCCTACTGGGAGAAAGCTAATAAGGTAGCAAATCACTTTCGAGGACTATGCAACACAGTCAAAAGACTTCCAGTAAAGTCAACCAAGAGGGCTGTGAAAGCTTGTGTTATTCTTATTCTTGCACACGGCCTAGAGGCCTGGTACCCAGGAATTGAGAAAGTCGGGAGCTTAGGTGGGACATCAGCATGTCGCATTAAGGGGCTTCTTGGAACAATAGATGCCGTACTACGAACAGCGACCAGAGCTATCTTGCCAGTCTGGAAAACACACCCTGGACATATCCTACACTTTGAATTGCAGATTCCCCCAGCAGGAGTTCTTGCAGAATCAATAAGACGACGTCACGGCCTCTGACTAGGACGAATAGACCAGAGACACCTTCTTGTTGGCAGGCTCCAAATATAAGCTCGCAAGAATCCAACAAGGCTACAAAGGAGCTTCCAGCTAGTCCCTGACTTCCAGAGACCAATACTTACCAGGCCATCATGGAAAAAGCCCCTAATCCACAAAGACAAAGACAAAAAAACAGAGCTCTTCAAGCAATGACTACAAGAGAGAAACATGAACACTGACCTTGTCATCTATTCAGATGGATCACAGTTAGACGACCAAGGCATAACCCGCACTGGATGGGGTTATACCATCAGGAAAGGCGGCACTACACAAGAAGTATACCAGAGAAAGGGCAGACTTCTCCAAGCAGAAGTAATAGATGCTGAAGTCCATGGTGCTCTCCAAGGTCTTGCAGCAGCCAGGGCAATTGGACACAGAAAACAGCTATATGTCTGCCTGGACAACACGTTAGTGGTAGATGGGCTCAATAAGACTCCACCCGAGACATCACAGAACATTTTTTTACGATTTCAAGAACTTGCCACAGCACACATTCCTGGAGTGACCGTCATGTGGATTCCTGGACACAGAGATATTGATAGCAACGAAGCTGTCAACACACTAGCAAAAAAGGGTGCCATGCTAGAAACAGACACGATAAACCTTCCTATAATCTCTTAGGTCAAGAGAGATCTCAAAAAAAAGGGCAGAAAAGAGTTCAACTAATGGTAAAAAGACCAATCAGAACCTAAATATCAAGAAATATACTCATATACAGTAACTAAAAGAGACCTTATATCTTTTAAGAGGAGTACTTTACACAGACTTCTAGCGGCCAGATCTGGACATGGCGACTTTGCCAGATACTATGAACGCTTTGGGCATACAGACTCGAATGATCACTGCAGTTGTGGTGAGAAGAAAACACCACAATATATTTTCTTTTGTAAAAGACTGGGGAAAAACTGGCTGCTGCCTAGGTACTCGCCTAGGACAGCTTGTTTACAATACTTAGGGGAGAGGAGCACAGAATGGGCAAAATTCGTAAAGAAGAGCAAGTTCTTTTCAACAATCTGCCCCCGATAGATAGCTTTTCTTGAAAGACCAGATGGATGACACCAAGGTCATACCGCCGCAACAACGGGGATGGGCCCGTGAGCGGGACTGACTGTACTTATTATCTTGAGACCTCCACAACCCTGCGATGCAGAGGCTCTGGGAGGCGTGGTTTGCACTACTGAGGAGCTACCCCCCACGTTAAATACAAAACAAACAAACAAAACAAACTCCGCGGCGACACAAGCGTGAACTCTGATATCGGGTTCACGGACTTGCGCCCACGAGAAGTCCGCTGCCATGGAGTAATCTAAATCCCTGACGAGTGCCAGGACGTCTCTTCCGTTCTTCACGACCAACTCAAGCACTCTCGTCTTGATAGGTACACCGTTCATCTTACCTTGGTATCCATCTTGTCTAAAGAATTGGTATCGACGCAATCATGTCCGTAAGTGTAATGCGCAGTCGATAGGGGCTCCATTCTCTGAGACGAACAGCCAAACTATTTCGTCTATCGGGCACAACCTGCTACGCCTCCAGCCACGGTTCCCGACATGCCGCCGAGATGCTTTCGCTGCAACTCGCTCAGCTCCTCCTTCACTACTAAAACGTCCAATCGTAACGGCAACGCGGGGCGTCCATACTTCAAATGCGTGCCATGCAACAAGTTTCTCGTCTTCGCCGACGCCCGTGGCAATCATCCGACGAATCCACGCTGCCACTGCGGACATCCGAGTAAGCGCCAGGCAGCTGGAAACGCCAAGCGAGTACCAGGGAGGTTGCATTTGGTTTGCAGTCTTGGGACATGCAATTTCTTCGCTCAATACAAAAGCATCCCGATGGAAGAGACGTCGTCGTCGAGGACACATTGATAGATGGATTGGCAAGGCTTTCCATAATCTGATGGCTGTTCAGTGGGCGCCCAAGTGTCAAAGGCGGAAGTCGCTTCATGTATCATGCCCATCGGGAACGAGATAATTTCATTGATATCCAGGGGTTCTGATTTTGGCATACACTATGGGGTAACTCGCGCTTCCAGAGGCCTGTCTCACTTTCTTCGTGTCCGAGTCACGTACATCTGTCCTTGGCTTCAGCTATCAATTTTAACTAATAGCCGTGACATTCAGACATCTCAGACGAAAAACATGAATTCAAGCGGTGTAAACTCCTCACATATGTCCTCCATGTGAAAGTAAAGACCTCCACCCAATCAACCGTCGACACTCCATCCAAGCTACCTGGTGAACGTGACCATATGAGGAGAAGGGACTACATATCCTCAAGCAGCCATACGGCTAAACCTCACCGGGCGATGAGTTCGATAATCCCACCGCTCGGGATTGGGGCCGCGGTGTAAGCGCAGTTCTCCCCTCTGCGCTAGACGCTTGGGAACCTTTCCTCTCTGGCTCTGATCGTACACTATGAATAGGTGGCCTTCATACTCATAGCGCGAGCTGGTGGTACTCATATAGACCGTTAAGTGCGGGTCTGTACGGACCATTCGGCGGCCTGACCTGGAACGAGTATGTGTGGTGTCGTGGTCGACGTGACTGGATCGGATTAGATCATAAGATGGTAATGTCACGAGGAGAGAGCAGCATACCGCATCCATAGATAAGGGGTGTCAGCGATAATACAAGCCTGTCGACCGGCATTCTCACACCCATCGGTCCTTGCCGGAAGTTTCGTCACACTGCACAACCAGATGATCTGCACATCGCAAAAAAGAGAAGAATATGTCAGTCAATGTACAGCAGCTTCAACGGTCCAGATTGTCATCATAGGTACCTTCGGATCGCGCAGGGTTCCAGATCCAGTAACACGATAGGGTGGTTCGTTGTTTGCTCTTCCAACCATGGCTGCTGCAGGTTCTGGGCTTCGGGTTGAAAGAATGTGAAGAGGAAGAAGCAGATAGATGACAAGTAGACTTGGAGGGTTTGGTGAAGGCGAGATTGGCTTTGATGCCGTGGTGAGTTTGAACTGAATTCTTACTCAAGGAAGCACCTGTATCTACCTATATATATATACATCCTCCGCCTGCTCTGGGGGGCTGGGACTTTGCTGCTCTCAAACCCTTGATAGCTTATGGGGTTGATCGGCCGAATAGGAAGCAGATAAGCGCAGGCCAAACCCATGTTGGTGATGAATATGTCAGTCTCGGCCTGATGATGGGTTCCTTTCCTGCGTGGTGGCCATTGAAGCCCCCCTGACATGGCGTCGATTGTCCAGATTGGAAACAGATACCATGGTCCACCCACCACTCGGCCACCCCCACCACTCGGACTACCAAAACTGCTGTAGCCCCCTATTAAGTCAACATGTTCACTTATACCGAATCCAGCCGTTTCTGAAGGTATTCACACCGTAGTTAGTTCACTGAATAGCCCTTTTTGGGGGGTTTATCCCAATCTAGATCAATCTGGCTAGACCCGGCGATAAGGGGGTCCCCCGCCCGTGATTTCTACCCCTTATAAGCGCAAATTTGCCCTTCATAGAGCAGTTGTCTTCTTCTTTCGTATGCAATGCAGTATTGTGACTCTCAAAATGCCTTTTTATACGGAGGATATTATGGCAGATGCCATATTAGATGTTACATATAACAAGCTGCCAGTCCGAAAGTCCGCTCAGAAATGGGATATCCCTAAGCAGATATTATTGGACCACATTAACAGCAAAACCTCAAAAAAAGAGACTCAGTAGTCAAAAAGAAGACTATCCAAAGAGCAAGAAACACGCCTAGCCCAATGGATTCCTCGTCAGGAATCATTGGGGCTCGCCCTATCGTATAGTGCCGTCAAGGCTATTATTCAGGCTATCTCGAAGTTGAATGGCATCACTAAAACCGTTAGAAAGAACTGGATGAATGGATTTCTTTGCCATAACCTAGAAATCAAGAGGAAAAGATCTCCAGGTCCAGTGATTCCTTAAGGAGTTTAGAGAGGTCGCCTCCTGGCATTATATATGCACTGATAATGGGTGGACGGATAACACAGTTGTGACGAGCCGTCTAACCTATAAGGCTAAAGGGTTCTATAGGGTTTATGTTCTGAGGTAAGTCAACACAAAAGACGATAGAGGCTTCTGTCAACTAGAAGACACTCAGATACTGGGGCTTGGTCTGAACTGGGTTCACTGAATAGTCGAGTCGTCAGGAGATTTCTCCCACCTTAGGGTTGGCTAAGATGCTTAGATTGATCACTGAGGTAGAGACTGTCTATCTGTCTAGCTAGGAAATGTCCATCCTTATATATCCAATCTCTCCCTCACTGATGGGGTGGATATGTTGGATAACCTTGCTATCCAAGCTATCTATCACGTGATGTCTTGATCACGTGACCTAGACGTTTCCTTAGCCCGTGCGTTCTCCCGGGTTCTTCCAGTTACTGTCCATCTTGTTGGGCCTGCCAGCGGGCCTCATTCCCTGTACGCCTCGTTGGTTCGTAACAACAGTCGCCGTGGAGTGGCTAGAGAGTATTTTCATCCCTTAAGCCAACCAGACACAAGAAGATGACAAACCTGAAGCGGTATCCCTGCTCCTTAATGGGCACGGGAGCCATACCTCTGTGAGTACTAATTCCCTTAATTTTCTCTATTTTGTTCCGCTTGGAATTGATAGATGTATAGCTAACCCTGGCGGTAGGATGAATTCATGACGATGTGCTTCCTGAACAATATACAGCTATATTTTCTGCCAGCACACACCTCCCACGGGCTTCAACCACTTGATAACAGCCCCTTGAACGCCGTAAAGACTGCTTACCGCAAGTATATCGCTCAGTTAGTTACTCTAATTGATGCTGCCCCTATGGACAAGATCAATTTCATTAGATGCTATGTCAAGGCGCGGAATGATGGACTGACAGTCAAAAATTGTCAGGCTGGCTTTAGAACTACTAGAAACTGGCCTATTAGCCACAGAAAGGCGTTGGCGTACCCAGAAATCCAAAGGCACAAGGCCGCTACCCCTGGGCCTGAACAGGTCAAAAATTCTGAACCTAAAGACCTCCGGACGCCCGAGAATAGCCGGCAGATCATAAATATAAGGAAAACAAGTCCCCAACCACTCGGCTAAAGCTACACAAGGTTGCCACTACTTTTGAGAAATAATCAGCAGAGATGGTGTTAAAGAACCAGAAGATCGAGAGTTTGAAGGCAGAACTGGAGCATATGCACCCTAAAAAGCACAGAGAGATTTCTAACCTGAATAAACGGTTCAAGAGTATCCCAGAGATACTGGCAGTCAGTGAAGAGCAGCCTCAAAATCGTTGCAGGGCCGTACAGCCAGTGGTTATTAAAGATTTAAGTAATGAGAAAGAAGAGGAGGATAGCCCAGATTCATTAGAAGAAGAGGAGATTACAGCCCCTGCAGAGACCCGTTCCGGTCGGCTAACTCGCCGCCCAGCTAGATATGATAACTGAGCGTCCAAAACGATAAGAATGATGCGCTTAGCAGCTGAAAACACCATGAATTGACTGATATCGGTGTAAGTGAAGTTGTAGATGTTTACGCGTGTGCCACTAATGTTGGGCGTCCGAGTGGTGGGGGTGGCCGAGTGGTGAGTGGGGCATGGTAAGCGCAGGACAGATGCGTGCTGGTGATGATCCTCGTCAGCCTCGGCCTGATGATGGATTCCTTTCCTGTGTGATGGCCCATCGAATCCCTATCAGGGGGAGGATCCGAGCACTTACGACGGCGGTGATTGGTAGTGCCGGGGCAGAAGGTCGTCCAGGGACCAGGAGGGCCAGGTGGACCAGGTGGACCAGGTGGACCAGGTGGACCCAGCTGCCAGCGCCCCCAGCTTGCCCAGCTATCACACGCGCGCGTGCTCTGCTACCGCGATGGACAGCCAATCGCGAGGGTCGAGTCGGCGCGTAAGTGAGTGATACGGTGACACAACCATTGATTTCTCCATGTGAGTTGCGACAGTCGTTGCAGTTACGGCCAAGGATTAGCAGGCCATCCCACAATACTAAAATTATGGACGATAGGGTCCTGGGGTCGTACCCCTAGAGCGCCATATCCCCTTGCTCCTACCTACGGGATACTTCCTTCAGCATTTCAGATGAGTCGAGTTTCCAGTCTGCAGAGACTTTTTCCTCTTTGGCAGTCAAAATTTCCCGCCGGGAGACTTCATCATCATCAGAGACGACTCCAGACCAAGAACACATTGTCTTACCGACCTGTTGACGCTGCAATGTTGAAGTCAATTTCGGAGTCGGGTTCCATCGCATCGACAGCAGTCGATGGGCCTCGAGACAATGGTCTAATGATCGAATATGCTCCTTTCGGGCTCGAGAAAGTGTACGATTACGAGCCTGGGGGTCACCATCCTGTCCACCTGGGCGACGTGCTGCACTCTCGCTATAAGATCATCCATAAGCTGGGAAGCGGCGGATATGCAAATGTCTGGCTTGCCCGAGACATTTGCAGTGATGTTTCGAAGTACGCGGCTCTCAAAGTCATCATGGCTGAAGGGTCTACGGATGAATGTCCCGAGCTGCGAGTGAACAAGCTGGTAGACTGTGGGCTTGACACGCTTGAAACGGCCGACTACTTCTGTCTTCCCTTGGACCAATTCAAGGTCGAGGGCCCCAATGGCACACATCTTGTCTTCGCATATCCAGTCTTGGGACCTCGTGCATCAAGGCTGATCAGCGCTGCCATGTCTGACCATTTCGAAGACTCCATACGGGGGATTTGTCGACAAGTTACGCAGGCCATGGCGGATCTCCATGCTCGGGGTATCTGTCACGGAGGTAAGTGTGCTTACTTCACAGCGTCCAACCATCCAGATATCAGTTCGCTAACGGGGCCTCGCCAAGATTTCCGGCCAGCCAACATATTAGCTCGGATATCTAACCTGGATGGACTGTCGGAGGATGAGGTGATGGAAGCTTTCGGGACACCTCAGAGGAACAAGGTCCTCACGATATCCGGTGAGGACCACGACCTACCTTCGGCCCCTCAATATCTCGTTTACCCCGTGGACTGGGATTCCGTCGCAACCAATTCCACCCTGATGCGTCTCATTTCCGGCAAGGCTTGCATCGTTGATTGGGGCGAGACCTATGACATCGCCTCCCCTCCCGAAGAGCTGGGTGTACCGCGAGTTTACTGCCCACCAGAGTACATGTTGGAAAACAAGATTGGAGTGGATGCGAGCTGTGGGCGCTTGGTTGCACGCTCTTCGAGATCCGCACCGGAAAAAAGCTATTCGACACGTTCGACGACGACGTCGACGAACACCTATGCAAGATCGCCATGGTTCTCGGCAAGTTTCCCGAGCCTTGGTGGAATGAGATCTGGGATCAACGCGATCTGTATCTCAAGGACGATGTAGACGCACTCGATCGGGTGGTGGAGGTACGCGATGCGGGCGCTGCTGCTCCAAGCACGCTGGTCGTTGAGGCTCAAGAGCCGAGATCCATACAGGACTCGGTCGCAGGAGGATTGTTCTATAGCCACAAATACGCCCCGGGTGGCATCCACCGAGATATCTCCCAGGAGGAGGTCGAGACTTTCTCGGACCTTCTTTCGAAGCTACTGCAATACCGTCCCGAGGACCGTCTGTCAGCCAGCCAGGCGCTACAGCACCCCTGGTTTGAGTTGTCACACAATCGATCTGGAGCTGAAGCTGCTGCGGGCACTTGACTATCCTCAAGTGGTGGAGGTGTTCACCCTAGGAGACTGTTCTTAGCCACTAGACGGTATGGGCTCCATCCCGAAATCGCACTCTATGGCAAACAAGTCAATGAGAGGCCGTCACACTGCAAAGTCATATCTGTTTATTCCCAAGAAACAGTTGGTTTTGTGTCGATTAGCCACACAATGTCATTGACTCTCATGATTATCCCCAAGCGTAGGGACAACAAACGCTTCAGCGACTCGTAGCTTAACATTAGAACACATCCCAAGTGGCAGCATGATTGCGACTACATTCCGTAGATAAACAAGACTTATCCACCACGATTTTTACTGCCGCTATTAGTCTGGTTTCCTTGCTTATGTACCTCTTCCCTTTTTACCTTTTCTGGACAGTTTTTATTTTGCTAATAGCATAGGTTGCTTGACCAAAGTGCCGCGTTTTCTCCTAACAGCATGTATTAATAGGACATTAACCATAGCCTTCGGTAATGCGCGCTGTGGCTTGGCGCTTAAAGTCGAGACATCGGTATGAAGGCCGCAGAAAACGAACCTTCCAAGTACGCACAGACGAGGCAAGATACACCTCCTATTCCGTCACAAGCTTAGCGGCTAGGAGAGAAAATATTAGGCACGAGCTGGGGAAGCGGTGGGTGCGATACCTAGTTTCTTCAAGACGTAATGGATAAATGAGCAATTTGCATGAACGAAACAGTTACTTGGAAATCTGACGATGAGAACTCGTCAACCCGTCTGTATATGTAGATGAACAACGCCCCTGTATCTACCCACCTCCAGGGAATCATGACATAACAGAATCTTACAGGCTTCCTCCCAGCAGCAAGCAGAGCAGACGTGCCCTACGGTGTCCTGTCCCATTTCCACATAGTTACCACACAAGTACGTACATATACAGATCGTCTCCTTTTCCAACGCATTCTGGATTTTTCGTTTCTTGAATCTCCTTTACGTCTCCGCTCTTAGCAACGCGATCCGAGGCACCGTCGAGGCAACAAGTCCGGACTCGTTTCGATATATGCACCGTCTATCGTGCCCCTCCCCCTTCCTCTTGCTCCTTCTCTCGCAAGTCCCATTTCGTACATTCGTCCGTAGGCTGAATGGTTGGTAGGCGCGTGGCTGTAATCGTGCGAGAACAAGTCTATACCTGCTCGGCGCCCCAACCCTGGTCGGCCTCGCGCATGTTGGCGGGCGGCTCGATCGACGGCACGAATTCGAGCGCGCAGTACGCCAGGCCCGTAATTCCGATGATGGCGCCGGCGACGTAGCGCGTCCAGTGGTCGCTGAGCAGGATGGAGCCCATGAAGACGTAGACTGTGCAACGCGCGAATGGTCTCAGCGGATATGTTTCTGCTTCCCTCTTGGTGTGCTGTTGGGAGGGGATTTGTGGGAGCACGTACAGATACCACGGCCGATGAACGAGAACATGAACGAGGCGTAGCGCGATACCTGCGGCGGGATCTGGAACTCGAGAAGGCCAACAGCCAGGCCGAAGATGATCACGTAGACGCCGATGATGATCGATTGGCTGTGTCGCGAGCGCTACATTAGCAAAAGGTAGTCCAATCCCCATAGATTTGTAACATATCCTGGCCCGGTAGCCTCGGGCGGGCACGTTTGTAGGAGGGAGGCTATCGTCGAGGCCGGGTACCGAGATGGACGGGACACGGGCATGCGGTTTTGGGGATCGGAACGTACAAGCTGGCGTGGAAGAACTGCGAGATGCCGCCCAGGATCATGATCACGCCAATGGCGAGGTTGACGATGCGGCTGCGGCGCGGGGGGAGTATGTCAGCGATTTGGCCGTTGAGCAGCGCATTCGCGCCGTCCTGCTGGACAAAGGGCGCACTTACAAGGAGTCGGAGAAATCCATCTTTGCGGTGTTTTATTCTTCTCAGACTGACAGACGTGAAGAATTGGGAGGTTCCGGCAGCTTATGAAGATGGATGCGATGATGCGCTTGCGTGTGTCGCTAGGCAGACGTTTTTAAGAGGGTGTCGTGGTTCGTCGGGCTCGTCGTGGATGCTGCGTCAAAGGAGGCTGGAGCTAAGCTCAAGCTGGGTTTTCTCTTGCCAGGGGCGCCGCTACAGGGGCGGCGTCATCTTTGGTCTAAGCCACAGTTATGTACAGGGGCTACCTGATGGGCGCCACAACTTGGTGCGCCACAGTTCTCCTGAGTTGTGAAAAGGGGCTCAAGTCACTGGTTTTGGACCCCAATGCGGAGTAGATGATTCATACCTCCAGAGGTATGACTGATCAGAGTAAGCTACCGGCTGTGAGTCGTACCTCACCACTTGGCATCTGCATCTCACAATGCGCCCTAGGATAATACCCTCGACTCGACATTGACCCGCTGCTCTCTAGCAACCTGAATCATCGGCTCACCAACATTCAATCCTGCCTGGCTGGTGCTTGCATGCCAATGCCCAGATTGCGGGTCACCGCTTCATAGCTCGCACGACGTATGCAGCTGACCTTTCGATCTTCACAGACACACTGGAAGGAACCGAAACCTCACCTGTGTTTACAATTACATCCGGTTCAGCTATGTCCGACCGTGGAACCTCTGTCCCTGCTGTCTCATCCTCAAATGGTGGTGATAATTTCCCTTGGCTTGAGGCAGCGACGAGGCCAGACGGCACCAAACTCACCTCGACTGTGGCTCCGCCAACTGCCCAAGAAGCTCCCGCAGCAAGTGGCACATCCGATGCTCCCTCACTTGCCCATCATATTTCAACCGTTAAAGTAGGCCCCAGGGTCATCAAGTCGACGTCGAACGCCGATTCAATACTGTATGCATTCGCTTTGAAGAACAACACTAGTTAATCGACATTCAATGACTACGTAAAGGGGCTTGACGACGGCGTAGGTGGTCTGATATCGAATGGTCCTGTTGCAGGCATATCAGACGTTTTTGAACGACTCTCAAGCCTCCGACGTTAAGGTAAAGCTCTGGCTAGATTGGATATCTCCGATGGGAATGCCGGACTTTGACGCTGAATACGAAGAAGAATTCCGCGCTTTTCGTCCAACCTCTCGCAATTGATAGAGAAATCAACATTGTTCTGCATGCTGATAACTCTGTCCGAATTAAAGCTATATATAATGCAAGTGCATCATTAGAACCGCCTTTTCTTGGAATTTTTAGCAATGCTAATTGTTCTCATGATATCGTGCAGGCTGGCGGATTGCGCGGCGCGAAGAACGCACCACAATCGGCTCGTCATCTTCATCATCCGGGCTACTACCCTCTTCATCCACAGCAACACCCTCATCCTCAGAGGGCTCCAATTCCTCCAATTCTTCTGATTCTGACTCCTCAGAGTCCTCAGAGAGAGATCTCTCTGATTCGTCAGTGTTCAGGTTCTATAAATCAGCCAAAATTCGTTGTCTTTCCTCCCGACACTCGATTACAGCCCTTCCGGCTGTTATAGCCTCGATTTGCTCAGCAATAACGTCCCCAACCTTCCATAGCCGTTGATCAGGCTCTTCTTGAGGGACCTTACGGCGTCGTTTCGGCTGCAATCGGAGTATTTCGTCGTCTTTGGCCTTGATCTGCTCTCTCGCGATCGCCAACTCTACCACCATCTCATCGTATGCCCTGGCAACCGAACGGACTCCTGCTCGCTGCTCCGGGGTCTCTGCCAACTTTGATAGCATCAGGGCTATGTCCTGTCCTGATTTAGGGTCTTCTGCTGCTTCAGGAGTGGTCTCTGGGTTCATTATAACAGCAGCTGCTGCTTGAATCTCCGCTGCCTTCACCACATAAGGGTTGTTCAGTGTTTTCTGCCGATTTACAGGCCAAAGGCCAGCAGCACGCCATCCCGCACACACAATAGCCTCCGTGGCTTCTTCACGGGCTTTAGGCAGGCAGCTAAGGAAGTGTACTTTTCCAATAGGGGCCGAATCGTTCATCTGACCGAGCTGGTTGATGAGGCGGTGGTAGGCGGCTTTCACCACAGAAAAAACGGTCAAATCCAGGGGCTGGAAGATGTGAGACTACTTCGGTTAGCGAAATAACTACTTATTATCGTATAACCTACCATATGAGCCGGAAAAAAGCACATATAAACGTTGTTTATATAGCACAGATACATGAATTCATTCGAGCAGTGGCTGCCATGGCCGTCGAGCACTAGTAGGCGAAATTCATCCGATCTTTAGGGGCAGTGTTTGGTAGATAGATCGGGGGCTTAATTAGCATGTAGTTAACGCCAGTTAATAGTAATTAACTTGCCTTTTCGAGCCATTGCAGCGCAATCTTGTTCAAAGACCAGCTGTTGATAGAATAGGTCACAAACCATTCTGCTATCGCAGGATGCTCCTTAATAAGCTGTTCATAAAACCACTGAGTCTGTATCAATTTCGCCTTAAAGATCACGAGCGGCTGGAGCTTTTTCTCAGTTATTGTAATCGATTCGACCACTGTAGTCCACGTATGGTCGTCGTTGGACTTGACGTTGGCCCCTTTTGAGCCAGAACTGCCTATTACCAGGCTATCAGACCTATATTTTGACCGGTCAGCCGTCCGATAGGCACTTGGAATGAACATTTACGTACTGCCGGCCCTGCATAATGCCGTACTTATCGACATTTGCCCGGTTTACAGGTTTGATGAAGGCGAAATCCTTATAGATATCGTGAAAGCCAGTGATATTATCCGGCGTAGCAGCGTTGATACGCTTATAATCCAGCTTTCTGCCCATCTTGGTCTTTATCTCAGGGTGGCGGCGTAAGAATTTATGCATATATTTCTTGCCTAGGAAGCCTCCTTTTCCTTCAGTCTCTAGGATCTTCTTGATGATGTACCGCACATTGCCATGCGTAGGCGCGTGGCCGGCCTTTTCTTGGTGGAGTATCCATGAGACCACCTTCAGCTCTTGCTCAGGGCTAACCTTCTGCTGATCATGAGCACTGTCACGGGAACTGCCAGTCTGGGTCATCGTGGTGCCGTCTACCTTGCGAGAGAGGGTTGATTTTGGTACTCCATAGCGTAGGGCGGCCTTACGGAGGGATAGATCGTCATTATTCACAGCGGCTATAGCCTCTGCGAGGTCTTCTGGACTGTACAAAGGAGGTATTTTGACGTACCGAAGCCGCTGTTGCTTATAGAAAAAAGAAAGAAAATTCTTAGCAGATCTTCTGCTAGATTGATACGGATAGGGGGCACGGGAGCCAGGACCCCTTGGGTTAGGCCCGGAAGCGCTAACTTCCGACCCCCACCACGGCCCATCCCGCTGCGGTACACCTGGTGAAATCTACACTGGAATAAACACCAAGAAAAGACGATTCAGATGCATTATTTACAGTATTTACAGCTTCAATCCGGATAGAGATGTGGGTGGGTGCAAGTGTGGCCTTTTGGTGTGGAAACTGTCCCACATGGGGGGCTGTCCCACATCTAGGTCCCCGCCGTTAAGCTGTTGAGTAAGACTGCTCAACTGCCTACTCGAGATTTCAGGGATCAGGGGTACCGGGTTTGCCGGCAGTTGAACCAACGATACGGCAAGCTACCAGCCTTCCCAGCCGTTGTCACAATAGCCTCGTAGCAGCCGCAACGGATAATAGCCATTATAAGCACGACGACGCCGAGGCCGCGGAAGATGGACGCAGTGACTCTATACACACCGCGGCCGCTGCCACTGTCGCAGCGCCGTGGCACTGGCGCTTATTCTTAGGTCCCGAGTTACTTGTACCAAACGTCATCGAGTGCGGCGGTTTTGGCATGACTATCCGCATCATCGGTAAGTTTCGGGCGATACAATCGAGAAATGGCAGTCCTGCGGGCGCTATAGCCTAGTTACGAGGCTGTTTGGAGGAGGGAATACATCATGGCGCCGAGGGCATGGCATTGCGACCCCTATATTCATGAGAGCCGTCAGCTGTAAGGGATCAGGTATCTTTACAAGCGCGTCGATGTGGCAGTATCTTACGGACGTAGGCATGGGGTGGTACCCAATTTCATATCGGGAGGGTATAGAAGGGAAGCAGCGCCATTCCAATGGAAGGCCTCGATCATGGGGCTGTGGAGGCCAAGCTGTACCGACTTTGTTGGTCTGGTGACGGCGTGTTGCGTATGGCATGGGAACGATTGCTACCAACGAACTTGAGGAGGATTTTTGGATTTCAAACACAATCTACGTATTGCCCTACAGGCTGCGATGAAGTGGTGGGATGTTCCCTGCCAGCAACCGTTCTGGGTCCACAGACTGCTGCTATCAGCCCCTTTCCAGTCTCCCGTTCCCAAGGCTTAGTCAGGCTCATGGTTATGGATGCCAAGGGCTATGAAATCTACCAACGCGCTGGGAGTCCCTGGCCCTCTACACCTGTGCTTACTGCGACTCTAAGGTTCTTTGATTTTTCTGCTATACGCGGATTGCTAAACTCTCGGTTCGCTGGGTCTCTTGAGGCACAATTTGTACGTGGCCTGAGTTGATAAGAGTTGGGTTCGTAACAGGTGTATTATCAGAGAAATGCCATGGTGCTTAATTGGTGTGTCATTATGGTATGCTGCCCAAGTAATGTCGAGTGCGGACTCTAAGGTCGAGCAGCGTGGTGCTTTGGGTGGTATAATCTGGGGCTATTGCCAGTGCGGACGCTCATATATCTGGCTCCAAAAACCAAACATCCCAAGCGAAAGATTGACTAGCACGAATCCCCTCCGTAACCAATGCTCCCTAGGAACCCTCTGGGGTTTTGTTTATCATCAGGACAGGGTCTTTACCGGGTTTAAGAGTCTTGATTGATTGATTGATTGATTTTATTTATCGTGGGTGCAGTCCCTCAACAGGGCAAACCACGCCTCCCAGAGCCATTGCATCGCAAGGTTGTAGAGGTAGGTGTCAGTCTAGATACATTCAGATCCGCGCACGACCCCATCCTCGCTGTGACGGTACCAACCTGGAGTGACGAGATGGTTTTAGTCAATACCCAAGCACAATTCCGTCAGAAAAATATCCTGTCCAGTGACAAAGCGACCCAGTAGACCTCAGTCCTCTGGTGTACATATCGTTCCAGTAGCCGTTCAATATATGTCGTATTGGTGGATGAAACAGGTGTTTGTTATCTGCTGGCGAGGGAAACCATAAGGGGAAAAATCTCGCAGGAGTGGGTGTTATGGAGACAAGCTGCTTAGCTATCGGGCTCTGCGATAATGGCTCTGCGATAATGGGGCCTCTCCACTGTCGTGTGCTGGTTGTTGACTCGCACAAGTCGGGTCAGAAAGGGAGCCGTAGCAGGATTCGAACCCACTTGTTCTCGTCGCCCACCGCACAAACGAGAACACAACCAGGCGCATTTGACCATTGCGCCATACGGCAGGGTTTAAGAGTCGCTGTCCATCCAGGCGCCTTGAATTCTTCCGGTTTTATTAGCACGCCGTGCAGGTGTATCTCGTGGAGGCGGTCGAAGTGTCTGCTGCTGAGGAGAAGCATCTCGTCAGGAGCCAGGTTGTGTAGACGCAGTCGTTCCAGGGACTTTGGAAGTGTTTGCTCAGGCCAAAGAATCATTCCACAGGGCCTCAGCAACCGAGCGTCTATGCGCAACTCCCTAAGGTTGCGTAGCTTATGCAGGTCCATATACTGGTCGTTGTCCCAGTAAGGGAAGCCGAAGAGTATGTTGTTTAGGATTGTGTATATGGACCCCGCTATCGTCTGGCTAACTGGGTATGGGTAGAACGGTTGGCCGCACTGGAAGTCCAACTTCTCCAGACCGGTGGCGCATTTGCTGATGGTGTTCGCCAGGGCACAGAGCTCGCCGCCTTGTCGAAGGAAGTCGGGAGGTGCGGTCCAGGTCAAAGTCAGGGTCCGAAGACTCTTGTTGAAATAGGCGATGATCTTGACCACGCTGCTGATGTCACAATCCACAAGGTGCACGTGTTCTATTCTGCTTGCTTGTCGCGGCGGTGTCCTGAAAGGCCACCAGTGCAGCCCGTATCCCCGAAGCGTCTCGACACCTGGATGGCGGATCAATGATTCGAGCCAGAAAATATATTGTGGCAATACACGTGCCTTATGACCCAGGTGATAGCGTAGGCAGACTTCTCTGAGGTAGGGAAAGGGGTGGTCGTCCATGCCCGGCTGAGGCAGGTTGGGTATATAGCCAACGTGTGGCAGTCCTCCCTCTTGACTGATTGAGAGGTCGAGGGCCCTTAGTCTCGGTATCAAACTGAGCAAAGAACTAGCATCGCGATGATCCGGGTCGAACCGCGGTCCCAGAGCAGCGGCCTGAACAGCTGCGCACAAGTCCGGGCGTTGACGCAGAGTGCGAAGAAGCTGCTTGAGGTGTAGAGCAGAGCAAGCCACTACTGTCAAGTTGCGGTATAGTGTTAATTCGTTCAGGCGACGAAAGAGTCTCGAGACACGGGACACTCTCGCGAGCGCTTTGAGTTTGACAGCTGGGTCTGTCGCATTCGAGCAATGCAGGTGGGAGAGTATTAGAAGAAGGATCTCCTCCGGCAATTGCTCCAAGGCGGACGTCATGGCGAACAAGGTGAATAGCGATAGTCCAGCTTAAACACTAGGAGATGGTGGTTGAAGATGATTACCCAGACGATAGGAGACAGACAGGGAGGAATCCAGGACGGGATTAACGGTGGAGCCACTTTGTACAGCGTCAGTTTTGTTCGGAGAAAATGTCCCCAACTGGCTTCACCTTGAGCAATTTGAGGGCATTTTTTCAGATATCATAACAGTGGCGTACCTTATTTAGCCTTGTTGTGGTCGCTGTGAGCAGCATATGTGTCATTCTGTGGGATCACATGTGATAGCTGTCAGAGGTACCTTTCCCACCTATCTAAGTAGGAAGGTACCCCCATCAGCTACCCTTATTCCTCTTCCAATATAGACCATTCCTAAATTTCACACATTTTCGTCATCTAACTTTACAATCATGTTGCTGTGAGCCGCTGTGGCTGATGCTTAGCTAACGCGAACCCACAGAAGAAAACCCCCACGAAGTGCATGAACAGAGGTAATAGAACTTCCAGGTGTCCAGAGAAAAGGCGCTGTTACTATGCTATACTTACCTCTAGGCCCTGCCCGTATATTGAGAAGATATTGAACGACCCGTAAGAATCATTCAACACTATAATAAGCACATTGGAATTTACAGTGCCCTCACTCATGTTGGTTGAGCAAGTATGTTGTTGCTTCTAGAGATTTGGTACTCGGCAACTGGAGATCAATACAGGAAACCTGAGAAGTGTTGGTACTACCGAAATATAATTGAGCTTGTGTGCGAGTATTGGTTCAGCAGTATTTCTACAGGCAGCTCTAGAATTATGGAGGAGTCTCGCATTTTGGCACATGAGATTCACTGACAACGTCAGACCACACCCAACTTACCTAAGCAGGGCTGGACTTATGGGATCTATGTCTCCGAGCATTGACGGGATCATCGACTAGCCCATAGTCTGAACTCAAAGTCGCCAGCCCACTGCCGTTGTGGACTTCGGTACCGAGGCAGCGTTTCTACTCAACCCAGCGGCCAGATGCCAGATGCCAGATGCCAGATGCCAGAGGCCAGATGCCAGATGCCAGATGCCAGATGCCAGATTCCACCGTGTTGGATTGCCGAATTACCGGCGAATCGGGCAAGCTTTGAGGAGAGATCTTGAACATACCCTAGACACATTCACCAACGACTACTAACCCAACGGCCACCAACAACCCGCCACCACCGCCATCCCGAACAGCACAAAGATTGGCCGTTCAATGCTTCGTGCAGCAAACTCTAAGCAGCCATCGGTCGACGAGGACAAGCCTTCACCCTGATTGGCCAGGGCGCTCGGGGCGGACAGATGGGGAACGCCGGCCCTGCAGCCATCACGAGGAGTTGTATCTGCCGCTAGGACGCGAATCCCAGATCGAGAGGGCGCGCAGTTGGCCCTTCTAGGTTTCCAACGGCGTCGGGGTGCAAGGCGGCCGGTCAGTCAGTCACTCACTCATACGATTGCGTAGACACCTAGATAGGTAGGCAAGAAGAAGGCGGGGATGGAATATAACCAGCCCAGCCCGTGTGCCAGAGGGCGTGCTGGCGTCTTATTTCCCTTTTGCTCTTCAACGAGCCTGGTTCCTCGCCAGCACTTGCTCACTCACGCTCGATACACATCGTACAGTGATAATCACCGCTTTGTTATCAAGCGTGGTACTAACAAACGCCTCATTCCATCGGCGAAGCTCGACGCACCGTCCGTCATAGCAGAGGTCAAAGCACAGCCAGGAGGCCATCATCAAAACCGGCCAGGGGGACGCCCGCCATAAGTATCGTTCCCTACTCTTTTTGGCCAGCACCGGGGACAGATAGAAACCACAAACATGTCGAACTGGACGGCCTTGATCACCCCTATGGGCACGCCAGCGCCGACGCCGGCGGCGCCTGCTCCTACGCTCGTTCCGATTCCTGATATGGTACGTATGACCATGCTGCGCCTACACAGCAAGAGACAAAAAAAGGAAGAAAAAGGAGGAGTGGAAAAAATCCTATTCCAGAACCGCACACCTCTCTAAACACAAGTCGAGAAGATCCAAAGAATGAAGACTGACAAACCTCCCAGAAGGCCGCCACCGGCCCCCCCTACATCCCCAACACGGCCGTCTCGGGCGGCGTGCCCAGCATCCCAATCGACGACCCCATATGCGGCGTGCTCCTCCTCCTCTTCCTGTCCAGCGCAGCCGCGCACATGACGATCCTGCAGCTGAACAAGCGGCGCGGGCTGCGGTTCGTCTTCTCGGGCATGCTCTTCGCGCTATGCATGCTGCGCAGCATCGCCTTAACCACCCGTCTGGCGTGGGCCTCGCGTCCCCACGACGTCGCCGTCGCCGTCTCGGCCGGGATCCTCACGCAGGTCGGTTCCGTCCTCGTGTTCGTGATCGATTTATTCTTCGCCCAGCGCGTGCTGCGCGCCTACCACCCGCGTTTGGGCTGGCACCCGGCCGCGCGCTGGGCCTTCCGCGCGCTGGTCTTCTGCGTCGTGGCTTGTTTGGTTATGCTCGTTGCCGTGAGCGTACAGTCGCTATTCACTCTCAACCCAGCAACGCGACACGCCGACCGCATCGTGCAGCTCTTCGCCGGCGCGGGGCTGGCCGTGCTCGCATTCATACCGATCCCCGTCGTGCTGCTGGCGTGGGTGCTCCCCCGACGCTACCGCATCGACAAGTTCGGGTCGGGCAGGTGGCGCTCCAAGCTGGCACTCTTATTGTTCTGCTCCGCCGTCGCCACGCTCGGCGCCGCCTTCCGCATCGGCACCGAGTACCTCCCTGCCCGCCCGCGCACCGACCCGGCCTGGTACCACTCGCGCGCCTGCTACTACTGTTTTAATTATGTGACCGACCTCGTCGTGTCGGCCGCCTACCTGCTGTCGCGCTTCGACCGCCGCTTCATCATCCCAAACGGCGCCCGCGCCGTCCGCGACTACTCCCGGGACAAGGAGGCGGGTCTGCCGCGTGGCGGCGGCGCCAGCACGGCGCTTTCGAACTCGTCGACGTCGACGTCGGCCACCAAGGTGGCGAAGGACGCGAACGCGGCGAACGCAGACGAAAAAGACGTCGGCGACCGCAGCAGCGGCAGTCTCGAAGAGACCGACAAGGCCAAGCTCGCCAAGCTCAGGGGCGTCGACCATCAGAACCACGACACCGGAGGCAAGTTCTACCTCCCCCACCACCACCCCAACTCCGACAAGAAGAGCCAGCGCGGGGCCAACCGGCTCTCGGACCGCTCCACCGTCGTCAACTCGGAGGAGGACGCGTTCGGGCCCGAGGACAAGGACGACCCGGTCCACGCCATCACCACGGGGGGCACGGGCACGACGGCGCATCCGGGGCGCACCAGCCACAACCCCAGCGAGAGCACGAGCACGACCGACGTGGACGCGTCGGACGCGTCGGGCCCCCCCGGGTCCGGGGGGTCCGAGGGCGCCGAGCTGCCCGGGAACATCCTCACCATGATCGAGAACATCTCGAGCGACGGCAGGCGCACCTCCGCTAGCCTCACCGCGCCCGAGCCGGCGTACTTAGCCCGTGAACGCGGCGGCAGTGGTGATGGTGGCGGTGATGGGAGGCCATCAGTTTCGTCCGATCACGCTATCCCGCCCCTGCGCGCCTCGCTGACGGATGCCATTGACTGGCGGTATGATGGGCATTCGAATCACGACGGTGCTGAAGGCCACGGCGAGGCGGCTCGATGGGTTTAATGCATAATTCATAATGCGTAAAAAAGTGATCTTCGATGAAAAGGGATGGAACAGTTCGGGTGCGTGCATGGGTGCGAAGGGGGGAGATAGTTAAGACTTACACACGAAATTTGAGGAAGAAGTTATCTAGAGGAGGTCCTATCAGGGTCAATACCCCGTTGACTTTTGCGCGCTGCTGCGAGGATGAGTTGGCGGACCTGAGTTGGCGATGGGTCGAAATGGTCTTGAATTGTATATGTATATACACATGAACATACCTACCTATAGATAATGTATTAGCTTGGGCGAGTTCCACCCGTGTAATCAGAGCGAAAAATACGAAGCTATTACACAACGATGTTTCATTAGTTTCATTCTTGCATACCTAGCAATGCTTCCTCTTACTCCAGCATGCGTTGGAGTCGACACTGCACAATATTCAAAGGTTGGGGCATCCAGATCAAGCCACGTGCGGGCAGTTTGTTCAGTACCAGAACTTCTCTCTTTATTCATGAGGCATCTAGGGAATGGACATTTCTATAACGCCCTGTCACTCAGACATGCCCGCTGAACCTGAGCGACAGCAGCAGCGTTGTGACATGAGACAGTGTTATGGCCTCAGATTCCTGCCTGTGCTGTGTGGGACATTGGCATTGCCTGGAATGATTAATCGTACAGGTTAAGGTGTGGCCATGCCAATGAACCATACTTTCGGCCATGATTGGGTTCTCGTGGCAAGCCAAACGGTGGAGCACCTCCAACCGTAAGCCGCGCGTTCAAGACTCGGCAGCAAAGCTTACGATAAGCTTAGAGGAAGTAGTCCGGCGTACCTGCCAAGGGGTCAGTTGTTGTCATGACGAGGTAGGACAGGAAAATCAGATGCCGAGGCGATACTTACGTCGGGAAACCATAGGCTCGCCAGCGCGTGGGCAGGGGTCAAACTGTAAGCTGTAGGAATCGTATGTCAGTATCAATCAAGCTGCAGTAACCAAACGACGCAACCGCATCCTTCAGCAAGAAAGTACTTACAAGGTGTACTTCAGGTGTTCGTCAATCTCCATGATCGCGGCTTGGTTACCGCATCTGTAGCAGTAGTTGGGTGCTGGTGTTGGTTAGCATATGGAGCTGTGTACGGCAAGGCGCACGAATAGACTGACCAGAGAATATCGTTACGACATTTCTATCCTGAGACCAGTTGTACCCTTCCATGACCAGTTGATGCGCTCTCGCGATCAGAGTCAGGCCGTTGTTGTGGTTGAAAGCCTCCGAGATATCCTGACCGAAGGTGTAACCCGCACCACGAGGGGATATACCCCAGCCGCACCGGTCGTCTGGGTCGGACCATAGCAGGTCACACATGGGGCCCTCGTGAGGGACCTCCTGAATCCGGTCAAGAGCTCTGATGTTATCAAGAGTATCGATACTAGGCGATAGTCCACCGTGCAGACAGAAGATCTGGTTGTCGATGAGTGCCGTCAGAGGGAGGTAGTCGAAGAGGTCGGTGAAGAACTTCCAGACGTTGGCATTGCCGTACTTGCGCAGGCATTCGTCGTAGAAGCCGTAAACTTGGGTAATTTGTCTGGATTCGTGGTTGCCTCGCAGGATGGTGATGCGGCCGGGGTATCGTATCTTGAGGGCGACTAGGAGGGTGACGGTCTCGACAGAATAGTAGCCGCGGTCGACATAATCACCTAGTTTCAACAGTCAATGCGAATGCCCTCGTATCTACGTATGCGCAAGTATCACGAACCCATGAAAAGGTAGTTTGTGTCGGGATTCGGGCCGCCGATCTTGAACAGTTCCATCAGGTCGTGGAATTGACCATGGATATCACCGCACACCGTCACGGGGCATTTCTAGTAGCAGAGGTAAGCAGAAGTGTCGGGCATCGCGTCGATAGCAACGTACTACTGGCTGAACGTTGGACTCCTCCTGCAGGACTTCTCGTGCCTAGTAAAAGTGAGACATTAGCATATCGTCGAGGCACAACAACAAAGAGCAAGCCACAAGTGACAGGATGCACGATGTTGATGGTTTGCAGGTGACAGGGTGACAAACCTTCTCGCAGAGTCTCTGTACGTCGGCCTCAGCAAGCTGTTTGCAGCTCATCAAGCTCTCGATCCAGCCGTCGAGGGTGGGAACGGTGGTCGGTTCCGAGGCGGGCGCGGGTGCCAGATCAGTAGGGACGCGGCCAATATCCTCCATGTTGGTGTCCATGACGGGCGGCGGGGGGCTGAGGCCAAGATCAACCGATATGGTAGGGTCCTAGGTCGGCGGTGCGCGCTGGTGTCGTTTCGCAGGGCCCTGGGATTATCCAAAGGCGACGAAGACGGGGAGGTGGTGAATGGGAATGACGTTTGGTGGATGCTCGTTGTTCGGGTTGGGCCAGGCGCACACACGATAGGGCGTAGGGCGGCACAACAGCTGTAAGCCTGTAAGGGTGGGGCTGAGGCTGGCAATGGGTCAAGAGTCAAGACTCCATCGGTCTGGATGGGAATGGGTATGGGTATCGTCACAGTCTTCAAATCAGTGAAGGAACAGCAATTGTCAGGGCGGCGCTCGTATCGTCGTCAGATGTCAAGCACGTCGTGGTTTGTGTCGTATCGCGGCGTTGCGTTATGTTGCGTGGGAGAAGGAGAAGGACTAGAGAGGGTATCGTTTGGCAGCAGCTAGATGGATAGGCGGTGTTCGCTGCTCGATTGACTGGCAGTGTTTTTTTGGGCTGGTCTAGCAGCAGATGCGGTCGGGCGGTCGGGCCACTCCTCGACACACGGCCGTGGAAGCAGCTCCCACCACCCTTTCGCTTAAATTGCGGCTCTTTCCACCCCGGGTCTTGGCCCCTTTATCTAGGGATAGAGTCTGAGAAACACAATACAACACATGTACTGTGTTGTGTTGTGTTATATTGTACTTTTCGATATCAACACGTGTGATTACTGGCAGTGACGTGGTAAAGGATACCTGGTAGTACCTACCACGGACCACCAGAAATTCGGCTTAGAAATTTCCGTGGCCGGGGAAAAGCCGGAATTACCCTCAGCCGAGGCTCCGGAGGCTATTCCCGGAGGTTATTCCGGCCTAATAACACAACACGATACAGCACGTGTTGTATGCGTGTGTTGTGTTGTATTGTACTTTTGGATAAAACACGGTGTTTTTCCACCCCTACCTTTATCCCCCCTTTTCTGCCTTATTTTCGGCGTGTCATTGCATACGTCGGGACATAACTCATTTCACTTCTCTTTGTACGAGTATTATCATCTCATTGGTCTCATACGCTGCCCTGTTTGCTTCAAAGATGTGACAAGTGCATTTTACACGAGTCTGCATTGCTACTACTACCTTTCAAGTACCCAGGCCCTTCATAGGAGCTGCTAGGTAGAACAATATACATCCGCCTGTCAGCGAACAATCTGACCTAGGCAACCAGGCATATTATGCAGGCTACCTTAAGCCTAGACCAATGGGACCACTACCATTCGTGCTCAGGGGCATGTCCTTGCCGACTAGATCTCTAAAGTCCAGCTGCACCTCCTCAAGCATCTGAGCATGCGTCTTGGCTCTCTCCATGCACTGCTTCCACACTTCGCCGTCTCTCTCCGTACTGCTCAGCTGTCTAGCCAAAATGACATTGAACGCGTCGACTTCTTCCTTCGCCCACTTGACACAGGCGCTCATCATCGCCTGTGGGAAGCAGCTCCGGAAACAACTGACCGTGTTTCTGATGCTGGTAAAGTAGACAAACGACAACTGCCATATGTAGACGTGGAGATCACCTTGGAAGATGCATTGTCTGTGTCATCGCATTAGTACCCGCCGCTTTCATAGTAGCGATGTAACTTACCTAGAGCGTTTCTGAATCAAGTCAGACCGAGCCTCCAGATATGCTTCTCGCGCCCGATCCTCAAAACCTAGTCTGTTGAGCCAGCCAACGTTTCGTCTTGTCTTGTTCTGCGCATCATGGGTATCTACTAGCTCCCTGATGATGAAACCAGCTAGTTTCGTGCACCTCTCATCAACCTTGAAGTTGATGAAGTCTTGGGCGATGGCGTTGTTCTTCAACTCACGAGCGATTTTTTGGAGTTTCTCAACACGGTCGACGGCCAAGTCAAAACGCTGCAGTGCTATGTCAATGTCGAGCTCGTCCATCTCCCCTTCCACCCAGCGAAGGTTTTGTTGCTTTCCATCCACTTCGATCATCATGTCCTTGATATCCGAGAGGGTCTCCAGCAGCTCTGTCTTTTGTAGTAATCCAGGATCCCGTGACGCAAAGTAGTTGATCGTCTCCTTGGCCTTGTTGTTTGCTTCCATCTCCGACTGCAAACCCTTCCGTAGCTCCTCAACTGCCTTTCGAATATTAAGTAGCAGGGTCGATTTCTCGGTGTCTTCGGGTTTCTCCGTCCGATAGATGAAAGATTCCTGCCCGACTCCCCTGATCATGATGGCATCAGCAAGTTTGTTGCGTCCGCTGTATGATTCGGATGTTGCCGCCATATCGACCACTTCAATATCTAGGAGCGGCCAGCAGCGATCTGCCACCATTTTGGTGGCAGGCCCGCGCGTATCATTAGGGTTATCCATCTTCCGCTTCTTACGTGAAGCGATCAGAAGATGGTCGTTCAGGAGGAAAAGTTGCATAGATCGCCTTGACTTGTACGTCGCGTTATCGAGTTCGATCCACGGTCCCGCATTCTGAACGACGTGTCGGCCCATAGAGTTTGGCAGAAACTTCTGCGATCCCTCGACATTCTTATATAGTGCCTGCATTTGCGAGTTCCAAAGCGCTGTTCGATCCGCAACCGAGCTTCTCTTATCTCTCTTGCTTAGGCTCGTCGAAAAGTCTCCGGGTGTACTGTGATTACCCGACGCAGCTCTGAGCGCGGTAGTGTTCGCCTCGAGCTCCTTGAACAGATTGCGAAGAGAACGCATCTCGTTCTTGAGCTTTTCGGCCTCCTTGCTAATCTTGATAAATTGTGTCCGGTTCTGGTAAACGTTCTGCTGCAGATCCGTCGAGGCCCTGGTCTTCAGCTTCCGTAGCGCAGATTCGTATTCCCTGATCTCGTCCTCGGTGGCCTCGCTGAGGATGTCAGCGACATACTTGTCAGGAACCAGCCTTGGATCGCGAAGGACCTTGGGGTCCACGGTCGGTGCGGTGCCGCCAGGTGGAGGCATGGGCGAACCTCCACCCCTTGACGGAGGCGGTCGTGATCTTGGAGCCGGCTGGTCATATTTGGATATATCGAAGCTGGGAAGCGAAGGCACAGGGGGTTTAGTCGCATCGTAGTCGGAGGGGAGGTTGTTGAAGCGGGTAGAATAGCGTCGTTTGACCAGATCACCAGTCTAGCAAAGGGTCAGCAGAGACCTTGCGCGCGTCCAGAGGAAGGACATCAACTTGCCTTTCCTCCTGTCTGAGGTGGTGCTCGCTGACGGGGTGGTGGAGGGCCAGCGGCGGCTATGGATCTACCCTCCGGATTCCTGGGCACTGAAGGGCCATCGCTGGGGATTGGATTCGAGATCTGCTTAGGCGCACTTATAGTTGGGCGACCCCCTTTCCTCTTAGGACCACTACGGAGCGAGATCTTATTCCGGTCGTCAGACATGATGGTCGATGTGATTCTGGTGACCTGATGAGCTGGCACGGGTGGGCTTGCAACTGTGTCGGCAGTTCAGGGAGTGAGTCGATGGATTCACACCATTACAGGACGTAGTGAAGAAACTTCAAGGAGTGACAACGATGACTCTGAATGAGTTGAGGTCAAGGGCATATGGCGGTCGACCAGTCTACGTGCCTCAAGCATGAAGCTTGCGTGTTGCGGCAGGTAGTCGCAGTCGCAGTCGCAATCGCAAGTCGCAAGTCGCATAGCCTCGTTTCAAATGGCTGGCCCGTGACCGTGACGTGACCGTGACTCCGGATCGCGGATCGCGGCATTATCGGCGGCGGACTCAATCGAAGGCGGGTAACGCATGCAACCTGCAGCCTGCAACCTGGTGACAGCAGCGCGCTAAAAGAGCCCTGTCCTTTGACCCGGTAACACCGTCCAGTGGACTCCACCCGGTGCGTACAGGGGCTGCAGCTCTCTCCCGTCGCGCTGCCTGGCTGAAGAAAACGTCTTTTTGGCATCGAGCTCTCTTCTGTCTGCAGCCCAAAGAACTGCTTCTGCTTCCATCCAACCAACGCATCATCGCCTCCTCCGTCTCCCAACTCGACCCCCTCGGCTACAAGCAGCAACCGGCACAGCTTCTGCAATTCCCCCCTTCATCTCTCTTCACAATGGTTCAGACCGGCACAGTGGCGACGATATCCGTCGCAACGGTAGCAACAGGGCTCCTAGGTACGTCACGCTGCAGCGGCTCACCACTCTTTCGAGCAGCACCCGCCCCAGCTTCAGTTACACGTCCCCTGGTGGTCAAGCTACGTACACACATACAGACCGCCCTACTAACTCTGTTGTACAAAACAGCCTACGCAGTCTACTTCGACCGTGAACGACGCGCCGACCCCAACTTCCGACGGAACCTGCGGCGGGAGGAGCGGCGACAGCAGCGCGTGGAGAAGGAGGAGGCCGTGGCGCACATCAAGCAGAAGCGCAAGGACATCCAGCGCGCCGTCGACGCCGCCACCGAGGAGGGATACCCCACGGGCGTCAACGAGAAGGAGGCCTACTTCATGGAGTACGTCCAGAAGGGCGAGGTACTGGCCGCTGATCGTAAGCACGCACCCCTTCCGGCTCTCCTGTCTGTCTGAGCAGTCCGCATGGTGTATGGTCAGAGAAGCCATACAGCCATGCGATCAAACGATGAGCAGCGGGACATGGAAGCAGAAGGAACACGGACAAGGGCTAACCCGCATCATCACACCAGCATCGACAACCCTAGAAGCCGCGCTGGCGTTCTACAAGGCGCTCAAGGTCTACCCGACCCCTGGAGACCTGATTTCGATCTACGATAAGACCGTGGATAAGGTAAGAAGAACCAGCACCTTGAAGAAAAGGAACTCGTCGTCATCAGTGAGCTTAGAAATGCTAACTCCCATCCGCAGCGTGTACTAGATGTGTTGGCCGAGATGATCGCCTACGACAAGAACCTCCACCTCGACGGTCAGATGCCCGCCGGAATTAACATCTCCGACCTACCTCAGACCAGCCTGGACTAAACAAAAGGGAGCGAATAACACACGTGTGGCCTTCTCCGGAAATCACCGCACCGTCGACACCACCCCCTCCACTCTCACTCAGCAGACCTCACCACAGTCTCAGGCAGACTAAATACCAATGGACTTAGCACACTCTTGCAAAAGGTCCAGCAAGATAAAGCTAGGCTCTATTCATATGTGTCCCGTTATGCAGGGTTCGTACGTGTTGCAAGGAATATCGTGTATGATATAATACTCGGCTCGTGGCCCCCTTTATTTGGAGGCCGGGCCGTTCGGTAGATTGGGGTTGGTTGGTTCATTGTACAATTTTCATGATGCCGTTCGGCGGCCGGTATAGACAAATGATGCACGACGATTCTTTTTTATTCTTATAATCTCTCAGTCTTTTCCCGTTACTAAACTTGACATGATCTGCGATCCCTAACTAGGCAGCCTCGATCTTCCGCCCCTTGCGATCCACCCGGTCATCCCTTGGGTCGAAGCCCCCATTGCCCCAGGTCGCCCACTCGGGCGTCTCGGGCCCCATGTAGTCCTCAGGCGTCCACTCGCCGTCGGCGCCCCTCTCCTCGAGCAGCTCAAAAAACCGCTGGTAGTCGATCCGGGTGTGCCACCTCCCGTCGACGCGGAACCGCTCGCTGGCGATCAGCACGCAGCAGCTGTGGGCGTGCTCGGCCGCGATGCCGTAGCCGAGCCCCCGCTTCCGGAGCTCCGCGTCCAGCGCCTCGACAAAATCGGTCACCTCGGCGTAGAAGGGCACGTTGGCCATGCTCAGCCCGGCGCCGGCGCTCGTCGACGTCCCGCAGTACGTGACGCCCTTGATCTCGACGAAGCACGGCAGGCCCTTCTCGACGAGGTCCGCGTACCCTTGCACCTCATCATCGACATTGAAGCCCTTGACGAGCGTCAAACGAAAAACGGTGCGCTGTTTGAAGCGCTTCTCGCGCAGGATATCGAGGCACCGCTGGAACCGCTCCCAGAAGTCGCGGTGGAGCGGGCGGTCGATCTTGCGCAGCGACTCCTTGTTGCTGGCGTCGATAGACACATAAAGCTGCGTCACGGCCTTCAGCGCCGCGAGCTGGTCCGGATGCTGCGCGTTGCAGACGAGGAACGACGAGATGCGCTCGCCGTGCAGCATGGCGAGGAACTCGTTGATGTAGGGGTAGAAGATGGGCTCGCCGACGAGGCTCAGGGCGCAGTGGCGGATGCGCATGGCCTCGGCGAAGCGCTCCGCCCGCACGCCGGGGACGCCGCGCATCATCTTGATCTTCTGGTAGTGGCCGGCCTTGACGCCGGAGAAGATCAGGTCCGGCGGGTCGACCACCCAGCGCCAGGTCGTGCCGACGGGGTTCGTGCCGTGGCGCCAGCAGAAGACGCACTTGTTGGAGCAGGAGAGGGACGGCGTCGTCTCCATGCATTGGTGCGAGGCGATGCCGTAGAAGGAGAATTTGTAGCAGGACCCTCGTCCGCGCAATGCGGATTTCGTCCAGCGGCAGATCTTGACCCCTGAGTGTGAGCCGACGATGGAGTAGCCCTGTTTCGTTAAGGACTTGTAGGTGGGCGACTCCTTCGGCACCATCTCCTTGGCGGATTGCGGTGGCTTCTTTGAGGACCGTTTGCTGTAAGTTGTAAAGTCCACAGCAATTGGTGCTGCTTTGTTAGAGGGTTTGGAATCGTCCTGGGACGACTTCATTATCCGCCCTAGATCCTCAAGATCATCGATGTTTCCCCCCCTTGCCTTTTTCTGCTTCCTTGACAGTGCAGACTCGTCGATCATGACTTCAACGTCATCATCCTCCTCTCCGGAGGCCTCCTCATAGTCGCTTTCGTCAGCGTCTCCGCTGCCTGGAACCCCTTCTCCCAGGCTTCCCGTACTCGCGATGAGTTTGAGGACGTCTCTGACACCGTCTGTCCACTCACTCAGGCGTTCCGTAAGGTCTCGTTTTGAATCCCCCATACCCAGCGGGTAGGCTCTTTTACGACCCGTCAGCTTCGCCATCCACTTGTCAACCTCCTTTGCCTGGAAACAGAAACCATCTTCTTCAGTCGGCCACCCCTCTCGGTCTCCGAGTCCGAACACTGAGTAGCCTAGGAGACCCGACAATGGAGCAGTGTCAATCCTGAAGTCGTGATGCGTCTCCTTGAGGTGCTCAAGCAGGTTTTCGTTGATCGTGTCGATGTTGTAGCTTGGCAGAAGAAACAAGTAGAGGTAGTCAACTGGAGAGTTTGGATCTTCCGGCTTCGGCGGGCTGATGAAGTATTCATCGTAATCAACCTGTGCCAGATCAAGCACCTGAGGTTCGAGAATCGATTCTCTCAGCTCAAAATCCTGCTCTTCTAGCGAGGCTTTCAAGGTTTCCAAGAAGCCACTGGCAATCTTCTCGGTGGTCCCTGTCAACGAAGAGTAGAAGACGAGCACCTGTATCCGCCGCTCGGGATTGGGTTTGGAGACTGTGCGCAACCCATTGGGCTTGCGTGGTTCGCCTTTGATGCGCCGCGGACCATCCGTTGTTTCCTTCGGCGTTACTCTGAGGGGAACGGCCTTCTCTTCCCGTACAGGGGGCTGTTCGGTCGTAGCAGTCTTTGTACTGGGCATTCCTCGCTCTAAGATGACTGGAGAAGCCTCATGCTTCCGGAACCATGACAATCCGAGCAATATGAGCATAAGTATCGAGGCTGCTACGCTCAAGATTGAAAGTCTGTGATTATGCCACAGCTCAAGGACGCCTGTGCACGACGCCCTGAGTCAGCATTATTTATATGAGGTTTGGGAGACGAGCTGGAATCCCGTATGGCATGACTTACCTTCGGAGGACCCAATGGCACCGGAACGATATCCTTGGAAGCCATTCATCTTGGTTGAACCTGCTCAAGAATGTGGCTGTCGCGAGCGAGAGACGTTGCACGTTGGAGGGGCAGTCTTGGAATGGAGGGGCAGTATTTTCAGTGGGTCTCGAGTGGTGGTCCACCCCATATCCATGGATGACTCGGCCAGTATCATCCCCTGAAGTCGACGTAAGTTTCTCTCTATATCATGAGCAATGGCCGTCACCATTCATTTTCAGGTAAAGAATGACATATATGAGAAGTGTGTAACGATATCGGAATAAGAGAACGGTAGGGTGTACTGGCCATAATACGAGTTCAAGACTGATACGGCAGAAATGAACATGCAAGATGCACTTAAGCTCAGGCAAAGAGTCAGTGGTTTCCTCGTTGCATTGACTGTTTAGCACTCAGTGACTTCTTGTAGTACAAGTGTGAGACCAAATTGATTTCTACGATCAGTCCACCCCGAAATTCTCATTGACAAGGGCCTAGCATCTCCACGCACATAAGATGAGTCCATAGGAACCGTATGGCAATATTTTCTTGACAACAAATAAGCGATAGCAGCCAAGGAAAATTGGCCTCTTGCATTGCTTCAGTATCTAGTCTGCTAAAATTGTCTGATCATAAGAAGGCAACGTTCAAAGTAAGCCACGCCCATAACACCGGTTGGACCCCCTATCCGCAATATGGGTATCGTCTGTAAAAGCAATGAATACTCGGTACTCTCTCAGCCCAAAACTCCCAACCCTCTCTTTTGTGAATATTCATATGCTGCTCGCACGGCCGCTAAGCATCGGGGTCGCTCGAGTCGCTCTTCTCTATCACGTGAAACTGGGGGAATGTAGGGATAGCAGCCAGCAGACAGTCTCGAGCCCAGCAGATGGTCAGCATGATGGCTAGTGCGTTCCACTGCTGCTGGTTGTACTCTGCCATGTTCAATTGGCAAAATATGTGTGCAGGTGCGTCGTCCTTGGAGGGGTCAATGGTGACAATCGAAAGGATATTCTGCATGATGAAGAATCCGAAGATGACAGGCGGCGTCGGCATCTCCTTTCCTTCAGGCACATCCTCATCGTTGGGAACCTGCTTTTGCCACTCCGCACTCAGCTGACACATTCGTCTCGAAATCTCCCCTTCATTATGCGGATCGGTCGATGTGTCTATATCCTTGTACACCCAGACTCCAATGTTCGGGGGCAACTGCTTGCCATACTTGACGATGCCGCCGTCCTCTTTGGCCCACTCGATGGCTTTCTTGAGGGGTCGTCGGAGGTGATGGACAATCTCTTTTATGTGGTTCCTGACTTGTTCCTTCAGGGGCTCGTCCTCGTCCGACTCCTGCGCGGACTCCGCTCCGTATCCGTCTTTGTCGTCGTCATCATCCTCATGGTCTGACGGGGGTTCGGGCTTGGGTTCGCTCTCGTATTGTTCCCAGCGCTGGAGCTTCCTCGACTTGATAAGACGCCTGTCTCTCCGGAGCTCTGTCGTAATGTCCCTGATGCGCGCTTGTATGCTTATCAGATTACGAAGGGTCATGGCACCTATCGGAAGCGATTAGCGAGGATGTATACGAGTCAAGCCACTAGGCATACCTTGCAGCTCATACTTGTCGTTGCGTTGGTAGATTCTGGGCCGGGCACTAGTTTCCTTCTTCTTGACGTAGAACAGACCCTCGGGAAAAGGGATGCCTCTGAAATGCATCTGCCAGCTTGTAGGCATGAGAGAGAATTCGTTTCGCGCCTTTACGGTTTCGTTGAGAGCTATCTGGTCCAGGTGCCATGCGTTCCCGTCGAATTCCAGGTCCGTCTCGACGCTAGAGACGGATTCCGTGGGAGTGGGTGACCTTGAGGTCGTCGACGGTGTACTTGGCAATTTATTCTGCAACTTCCTGATCTCTTCTCTCCGGATCACCTCATCGAGCTGGCCTAATAAGTGTGCGTGGGTGAATTGGTTGTGCTCAACGGATGGGCGGACGGCTTGTGCCGCCATGGCCAAGGGCAGAGCTTCGTCGTCAGATTCATCCTCCTCCATGGCGTCCTCGTCCTCGCCCTCGGCGTGGAGGAATTCCTGGAATGTCACTTCGACAGGTGAGGCGGCGGTGGCTGCAGACACGTTCTTGGTCACACGCCCATGGATAATCCTCTTGTTCGTCAGGGTGCTTAGAGCTGCATCGGCCACTGGGTCTGCAACTTCGCGGCGGCTGAACCAACTGCTGTAACTCGGCATGATGGCAAGGTTGCGGAAGTGCAAAGGAAAATCAGAATGTGAAGCTGTGGGAAGGACTGCAGTGAAACAGAGGATGACAGAGGCCGGATGCGGGTGTGAGAACCACAAGTGATGGAGTCGTGGCGGTATGTTGCACACGGAGGAAAGAACTGTGGACAAAGCAGGTGGTGCAGGTGATGCAGGTTTCGAATGGTTGCAGTGCTAGCTTAGTCCACCTTGGTCTCGAAAGGTGGTGGTGGTGGTGTGCAAAGATATTGGTCGACTCCCATTGTCTTTGGTGTGTGACTACCATAGATTGATTCGGACTCAACAAAGACGTATCGGCGCAGGAGTGGACAATGAACAAGTCGGAGTGAAGGAGACGACGCTATTGTAGACACCGCTTCTGGTATTGCCTATGCGCAGCTCACCTGGAGGGTAGGTACATATGGTAGGTACTTATCGACAGGTACCTTAGGCAAGATACAGGTTCCTTGTGCAATTGAGCCCTGAGGCATCAAGATGGTGGTTGCATGAGATGTGGTTGCACTTGGTGATGGATCAAATGGACATGAGTACGCCACGGCCCACGTGGCTGGTGGCTGGAGTTGCACTTCAATGACTTCCAAGGCCTCAAGCTGGACAGCTCATACCAATTGACCTGTCAGCAGTACTACTATGTACCTGAGGCAGATGCAGGTTGGAACATCGATGCTGGCACACGAGGTTGAGGCCAGTACTTGAAGGTGGTATGGACGGGAAGGTAGGAGGTACTTGGGTACACTCAGCCCTCATGAGTGTCGATGATCACCTGTCTCCAGTTGGCACCGGCCCGCCGATACCTGACCGGTAGGCTACGTAGGGGAAATTAATATTCCGCTGAAAATATCGTCCCGACCGGGCTCCAGCTAAACTCAGCTTGGTCAGGCCGACCGTTTCGGACGTTCGTTAAATTCTGATCTCGATGCGCCACATCAGGGATGACATCAAATTGATCGTCGTCGGCGCACTTCTGCCCGTCAGCCGCGTCCTCCCTTCCCCTGACGACAGCAGACCTCATATCGGGAAGAGAACGAAGACTGCTACAGCTACAACTACACCAGAATCTTTTCATTGCTGCTATACTTGACATCTGCAACACTGGCACACAACACGATCCACTACTCCATCGCAAGTCTGCCTTCCGAGACAACTTCAGAATCTCTCCTCCTCAATCTCTCCCTCGCCTCCCTCGCCTCCCTACTTGCGTCCCCGCTTGCGCTACACTCGAGCAATGCGCACGAGATCGCAACATTGGACGTAACATTGGAGCTCGACACTATGGCTACAGAGTACAGCAAGTTAAAAGTGGTCGACCTGAAGGCCGAGTTGAAGCGCCTGGGCCTGCCTCAAAATGGGCTCAAGGCTGAGCTGGTCGCACGACTCGAAGAAGCTACAACTTCCGACAGCGCTCCCCCTGAACCCCAAGAGCCGGTTGCTGCAGAGAACACAGGTGCTGTAAGTGACGATGCGCAACCATCAGAAGCTCCAGAAGCCCCTGAAGTCCCTGAAGCTGCCAAGGCTGTTGAACCGACCGAACCAGAGACTGAACTTGCGCCGCCCCAAGAATCAGAGCCTACTCCTGCACCCATCATAGCACAAGATGACCCTTCAACTGCCCCATCCCAGGCACAAGCTGCAATAGTAACCTCCCCGTCCGACGCGACACCTCTCCGACCTACAGAAGTGGTGCAGGATTCGCAGAAGAGAAAGCGACGATCCGTGAGCCCACCGCCTTCGGCCGAAGATGTTGCTCGCAAGCGACCTAAACAAGAGGACAAGGAAATCGAGGTTGTCCCTGGTGAAGGCTCTGCTGGCGTCGAATCCAATGATCCCAAGCCGGAAATAACACAAGAATTTCAACGAATTGAAGCTGCGGATACTGAAATGGGAGATGCAGAGAGCAAAGAGGTTGCCGAACCGGAGAAGGGAGAAGGTGGGCCGCAGATTGGGACTGTGGATGTTGAGATGGAAGAAGACGCGAAGAATGGACGGATTGCTGAGCTGGAACCGGACCAGAATGACAAAGAACGCGTTGCCACAGCAGCTGCTGCTGCACCTACTCACAACGGGTTCGCTTCAGCAGACCACGCACTGAATGATTCTGAACCTGGAACTCACAACGGGTTCACTTCAGCAGACCACGCGTTGAATGATTCTGAATCTGGAGCCTACGACCGATCACCAACAAACAAATCCATGCCGCGAGAACCAACACCAAACACATATCCCGCCGACCGCGAGCGCGACGTGGGACCCTCAATCCACCCTGCAACATCGGCGCTCTACATCAAGAATTTTATGAGACCTCTTCGACCACAAGCAGTAAAGGACCATCTTCTGGAACTTGCCACACCGGCCGATCGTCCCATCGACGACACCACCATCACCCACTTCTACCTTGACACAATTCGCACACACGTTTTCGTCGTCTTCAACTCCATATCGGCCGCTTCCCGCGTGCGCACCTCACTGCACGAGCGCATCTGGCCCCTCGAAACCACGCGCAAGCCACTGTGGGTTGACTTCGTACCGCCCGAGCGCTTTGACGACTGGGTGCACACGGAAGAGTCTCCGACTGACCGCCGCGGCTCGAATAATCGCTACGAGGTCGTATATGACGACGATCGCGAAGGCAACGTGACAGCCAGACTAGAGGAGTGCGACTCACCTCCCCCGGCGACGAAGCAAACACCTCTACCCCCCGCAACTCAGTCCGAACGCAAGATGTCCATCCCAACTGGACCATCCCGGTTCTCGGGCATTGAGAATGCACCAACAGGACCCCGCAACCGTGGCGTTGCGGTGCACCCCAGCGGAATGGAGAGATTGGATCCCTCCTCCCTGTCCACTCGCGCGTACCCTGTCATCTCCTTTCAACCCGTCCCCGAAGAATTGGCCCGACGACGCCTTGCTGCCATCGCGGCTGCTAAGGCACCGGACCATGAGCGACAGGTCGGCAAAGACTACAAGCGCTACTTCTTTGAAGGCGGCGACCTTCTTGTCGACCGAGGCCCTGAAATCTTCCTAGGTATTCGCCCACCTCACCGGGAGCGCGAGCGCAGACGTGAGATGGCCCGCGGAGCTCCTCGTGGCCCTCTTGGCCCTTCTGGTCCTCCTGGCGGAGGTTTTCGCCGTGGTTCCCGACCTATGCCCACACCTCACGGCGTTCCCAGAGGTGGCGATCGATTCCGACCTTCCGACTCCACAGTTCCCGCATACGATGATCGACCACGATATGGAACCGACAGAGGAGGCGGCAGACGAGACTACGGAGGCCGTGGCCGTTACTGAGATGGAGACTGGTGTCTATCAGGAGGCATTGGGTGCGCTTGGAGAGTGACGGGAGTGCGTAGTGGGTGGAGGGGCTTGGACATGTTAAGATATCTGTATGGTTTTGCGGCATTAGAGAGCATTAGCCAAGGAGCGCATTGGCAGGGCAACGTGGTGCGTTTGAGGGATACCCGGGCCGTCACGACAAGCCCGCGCACAAGGCTAATATACATGCTCGACTACCGAAAGACCATCGGAAGTCACAGATGCCTGGTGCGAGTTGGTACCCTGGATGCGCTAAATAATGAAAGAAGTCAGTGATTCACACCTCAGACAGAGTGCCTCGAAACTACGTGATGACTCATCCCCATGTGGCCTTGTGTCTCTTGAGTTCCCAAGCGTCTGTGTTGGTCCCTTATGTGGCAGGCAGTCTTGCGATTCCTCTTCTACGGGTGTTTTTGCTACCCATCCAAGATGATCTAGCTTTCCCTGGTTTGCTAGACCAGGGGATCTATACCACGCCGTAATAGTTTCCTTGATACCCAGATAATAACCAATGTTCCGGTATGGCGTGAACATGCCTCTCTTCCGGTTCAAGGATTTGTTTAAGTAGCAATAGCCCGCACGGGCCACCACCACTCTTCACTCTCTCCTCTCCCCTCTCCTCTCCTCGCTAGATGGCCCGGTTAACTTGCTTTCGCGCCCAGCTGGATGCCTTCATACACTGTCGGGTCGCTGCGCTGCAGTTCTCATATAGCGGGTGGCCACACTGAGAGTCACATGGACGCGATGCTAAACCCCCCGCCTAATCGACAAGGCGCAGTAAAACGCTTTCCTCAACACAGCCTTCCTTGATAAGCTGAGTCGAGCAGACTACCTCGGGAGATACCCCTTCATTAGACAACTAGCAGTCCAGACGCGATCGATGTTGTGCTGTCCTTCAACACATGCATCCCAATGGCGCCATCGAAACCCTTCAGAAAAGCACTGTGGCACCTTCAAAAGCCATCATCGTCGGCGATATACCAAGCCCTGGATCCTACGCGGAAAGAGATACGGCTGCTTCGCCTGCTCCCTGCCGAGAGCGATAATGCCACGGTCACCTGCGAGCTGTTCACCGTTTCTCGGCGCAAAGGATACGCCAGGATACGAGGCGACATCTTATTGCTGGGGCGAGCATACCGGGCGACGGTGGATCTACATCAATGGTGTACTTACGAAATCTCCCGCATCTTCTGTCCATGTTCTCTCTAGGTTCCGTGACAGAAGTGAGGCTCGCATCTTGTGGATAGATGCGATATGTATCGACCAAAGCAACCTCTCGGATCGCAGCAGTCAGGTGGCAATGATAGGCGACATCTACTCATCTACTAAGCAGACATTGATATGGCTTGGCGATGCTGACGAGCACGTGGGAACTGCAATACAAACTCTTCAGCGGATTTGGCATGACATCAACACGAATTTGGAAATTTTCCAAAGCGACATAGACACCTTTAAACGGACGGGCGTGCTCAGGTTCTCAGGAGGACCGAGTCCACCGAAATATGATGTACGTTCGGTAGAGCTCCTCTTCTCGAGGCCATGGTTCAATCGAGTATGGGTGCGTACCACAATGTAGCATTCCCAGCTTACCGCCTATCGACCGCGCATATGATTTGTAACTTATCTTTAACTTTCGAACCAACAGGTCGTCCAGGAAGCCGCACTTGCGCCATCCGCCAGCTGTCATTATGGCCCTTGGCAGGTACCATGGCAGAATCTTTGCAACGCGGCATTATGGATCTGGTGTTCAGTCTCGTCATCGAGTCGGTGGATTAGTCACGATTGTTATGTCGGTATTCAAACTGCTGCCACTGGCTTATCCGACAACATACAGCGCCGATCTCTTGCAAATCCGCTGTCGTTTGCGAGAGATTTGCATGCTACAGAGCCGAAAGATAAGGTCTACGGTGTATTAGGCCTCTATCTCCGTAACTGTAACCGGCGTGACCAACAGGCTCACTTACCTATGCCAACGCTGGCCGTGGATTACGCCAAGTCGTTCGATGAGGTGTATTGCGCTGGGACACTAGAAGCGATTCGGCAGGAAGGTCAACTGTTTCCGCTGAGATGCAAGAGGGTTAGACCCACTGACTCGTCGAATGTCGTAGCTGGAGCTGATACGTTCCCATCATGGGTGCCGCGATGGGATCGTTCACTTGCTAGGGATGCAGGAGATGCGACACGCATGATTACTGACTGCGCGGCGGACGACACCCGTAGCGTGAGTGCTCACACCCTTTCAGCAAACTTCACCAGCGCCCAGCAGCGCATTCTGTGGGTGGATGGTATTGTCCTTGAGCCCATATTGGCGGTCAACGATGTAGTCCTGGCATCTATGTACTACCCGGATATTGCCGCCTTCCTTGCGCGAAGTAAGCGATTCGCCGACGCCCACCACCACGACTGGGAGTCCACGACTTCGGATTTGGACGACTTGCTTACGACGATGATGTGCGATCCGCCCGGCACTACCAAGTTTCAGGACCCGCGCAAAAATAACGAATTGATCGAGCTCTTTTGTATTGCAGATACCGATGCCGCACAAGTCACCGAAACGTTTACACGATTAAGCGCATCCTGCCAGTCAGTTCTGAGTACTATGCTGAACACTTGCTACAACCGTCGCCTTTTTATCACAGCATCCGGACGTCTCGGTTTAGGGCCTCAGAATTCGCGAGCAGGCGACCTCATCGCAGTCTTTCTCGGGGAGCGCTTTCCGTACGTCGTACGTCCAGTGGACGGTGACCCGTGTAAGGAAGGCGACGAGAACTCCCACGAACAAGGATACCGTATGCTCGAACACTGCTACGTCCACGGCATCATGAACGGAGAAGCGGTACAAGAGCACGAAGCAGCTGGGAAGCCGATCCCGACTTTCCGACTGGCGTAGCGAAAGCTGTTCGTCGCCTCTCATACAGACTATCACCGTTACGAAGCCAGGAACCGACGTTTCAAAACAGAACCTTCCACCCCGGCGGGCGACAAAAACGCCGGAGTCGACGGGGCGATCAAAGCGCATGCCCAGCAGTATCACATCATTCGACCACTCTCTCCGATGACCCGTGGTACTTACTTTACGTACGAATTAATTCTAACAATCAATATTATGATAATGATAAAATTAACGGTATTATAGAGAAGAAAAGCAATTTTTTAATTTTCAGTTTTATAAATACAATGCATACTATACATACAATACATACAATACATACAATACATACAATACATACAATACATACAATACATACAATACATACAATACATACAATACATACAATACATACAATACATACAATACATACAATACATACAATACATACAATACATACAATACATACAATACATACAATACATACAATACATACAATACATACAATACATACAATACATACAATACATACAATACATAGCCGTATATAAAGTAAACAGTAATAGGTAAAAGTTTGAATTAAAGATTTTTAAAAAATTGAATTTTTACTACTTACATTAAACTTGTTAAATATATCGTTATTTTCATTGATTTTTAACCTTTTAAACATCCGACTTTTTATAAAATAATATTTCAACATTGATTTCGAGCGCGGTTTTTAAGAAAAGCTTTAAAAATACGTTAATGAAATTACGTCTATTTATAATAATATAATTATACGATTAGTAAATAAACCGAGTAAACGAAAGTTTTTTATAAAAATATTTATATAAAAACGTAAAAAGGTTATTATAAAAACTTTGGGAAGCATTCTTAACTATTAAAAGCAAGAAAATCTTTAAATAGATAGTTTTTAATAAAACAAGAGCAGAGTTTTTTTATAAAAATAATAAATGCAATAAAAGGTATAAAACGGCGTTCTTTAATAAAAAATTTGCTAACGTTAAAAGTAGGGCATCTTCAAAGTAAAAAAGGTAATTATATATTTTAATTAAACAAGATTTAAACTTATACTATTACAAACTAACGAACAGTGCGGCCTCATAGCAGGCCCAGAAGAGACGATTGGAAACAAGTTGACCAGTAAGTAGGGTGCTGATCAGTGGAGAGATCAGAGCAACAGAGCAACGGTACACAAATCACGTGACCAGCAGAACCTTGGTCACATGACTAAGAATTTGGATCACTGGATCACTGGATCACCATGGTGAGCCACCTAATCAGTGAGGGAGAGATTGGATATATAAGGATGGATATTTCCTAGCTAGACAAATAGATAGTCTCTGCCTCAGTGATCAATCCAAGCATCTTAGCCAACCCTAAGGTGGGAGAAATCTCCTGACAACTCGACTATTCAGTGATCCCCCGGATCAGACCAAGCCCCAGCATCTGAGTGTTTTCTAGTTAACAGAAGCCTCTATCGTCCTTTGTGTTGACTTACCTCAAAACATAAACCCTATAGAACCCTTTAGCCTTATAGGTTAGACGGCTCGTCACATTTAATAAGATAAAACCTCGAGTAACTAAAAATTATACTTACTAGCTTCAATACCCGCAGCTAGTCTCGAGGTTCCGCTTATAAAGCTTTAAAGCTATTCGTATTAAAGTAATTATTAAGTTTACGGCTAGCTTAAAAGGTTTATAAAAGCTTTTAAGCTAGGCGGACATCTTTAAAAATATTAAAAAGGCTTTTATTATAAACTTTAATAAAGACTTTCAATATTAATAAGAGAACGTTATATATTATCTCTTAAAAATATATAAAACAAAGGATAGAAAGTTACGTTAATCGTATACGTAAACTTATCGTTATATTAAAAAACGAAAATAAAATAAAACCTTTATTTTTTAAGACCTCAAAATATTTCAGAATTTATAGAACGAAGTATAAAGTTATTAAAATATAAATACTGATCCTTATATTAAGGAATCTTTAATAACTTACATGAATATATTTATAAGTATTTCCATATTAATATTAATATTTAACGTTAAAAATAAATAAAGCTTTTTAAAATATTTTTTAAATTATTACAAAGATAACCTTTTAAAGATCTTATTATAATAAAAGTAATGGCGGTAAAATATCTAGTAATGTTATTAAACAGTTTTATTAAAAAAGCGTTAATTCGGGCATTTTTAACTTTTCAAAATCGTTGTTTATAAATTAATAGTCATTGCGATATTTATATTTATAAAAATTAGAAATTAAGAATTATGATTAAAGGCTTTATATATATCTTTCGTATTCAAAAATAATATTAAATATTTAAACCCCGTAATAATTAAAATACGTATAGAAAGTAAGAAGAGAAAATCTTTTAAAAGTAAGGTTTAATTTAAAAAAAGTCGTAGTTTATATTATTACCAGTGTTAATGATAATTTTAATTTTATTTCAATATTTAAAAGACTTTTTTTAAGGGTTTTCATACTAATAATCGTTTAAGTTGGTAGTAAAAAAGCGATCGTACTTGGGGAAAAAATTTAAGCTTTTTAAAGTTGACTTTTTTATTACTGTTTTAAAAAAAACCACCAATATTTTAACGGTTTAACAGTGGTTCAAATATCCGTTTTTTTCAAATCAAGTTAATTTTGGTTTAATCAATTATATTTATAAACTTACATTTAACGTTAATACAGTCGAAATTATTACATTTTATAAGCTTATTAAATTTTAACTTTTTATATTTTATTATTATTACTATAAACACATTATAAACAAAAACGGCCAAAACTTTTATCGTAAGTTTAATAAATATCCTTATCAATAATTCTATGACTTTTAATAAAAAGTATCTATTGTTTTAATATAAAGCATTTAAGCTTATTGTCATGGTCTGGTAAAGGTAGCCTATGTGGTGAGTCCTGGAGCCCGGACATGAGTACATGTACCACCATTGAATGTCAAGCTGCCACGCTTGATATTCGACATCCTCTTAGGAGGAACAGCCGTGGCATGGTGGTTATGGTGAGAGTTCCGTCACACTTATTAACAATGTAATTTTTAAGAATATTCGGCATTATTTGGTAACTAATCAACTGACATTTCTATAAAACAATATTATAATAAAAATACTTATATACGAGAGAAAGAAAGATATATAATTTAAATGCTAGTGTGACGTTCCGTAGATGTGAATAGGACATAAAAGCCCTTGTTTACTACGTATGTATAACAATCTCTGGCTGAAGAGGAAAAAGAAGACCGAGCGGCACAGCCAAATCTGGTGGGCACCTAGATAAGTGTGTCTGCCCCACGATTCAGAACCCTAGTGGGTCTGGGACAACCAGTCGTCTAAGAGGTCACGTGTTGTCAGGTGATTCTAGAACCATCACCAATGGTAGCGACGTAGCAACCATCACAGCTAGGATATAATACAAAACACGTAAATTCAATAAACTATTAAAAATACGTAAATTATATAGTTATACGTAATTTAAATAAATTTTAACCGAGAATCTAACTTTATATCCGGAATACTTAAACTACTTTTTTTACTTAACCATATTATTAACCATGTTATTAGTTATAATATTACATCGAAACATTCGTTTTTTAAACATAAGTATAACGACCACATATTTACGTGAAGCCTTAAAGATAACCTTTTAAATAAGCAAATTATACTTTAAAAATCGCTTTATTTCGATTTAAACGAGTGATTCTATAAAATATATATCCGATTACATTTATAACTATATATTACTATATATTTAAAAATGTTAAAATATCGCCGTATATACTCTTACATATATATAATATTTTATCGCTTATATAAATGGCTTACACTTGCTTTTTCTATTTTTTAAATAATAGAATTATTCCTTTAAAACAACGCTTTATATATATTGTTTATATTTATACATGATTAAATATGAAAATGGATCGTTCTTGTTGTTGTATAATGAGAAAAATTATTTTAAAAAAAATTATACGTCATCATTTAATAAGTTTTATTAGTTAAAATATCGATTCAATTAGTTACAATGAGCTAAAATCGTATATAAGTATTATATAAATAATTATCGTTACGCTTTTATTATTAAATATATTTATGTGAGATTCTAGAAGGGTTACAAGCCTTGAGGGTACGAGTGGTTGCAGCAAATGTTGTTGTCATTCTCAAGTATGCTTAGCAGGGCTAATCTACAGCTAAATACCATATTGCACCATGATAGGGTAGATCCACTGTTCCTTTGACAGCCTCTTAGTGGGTACTGCACCTAAGGGCACCATATCTGGGATCCAACATCTGACAATTTATATTAAATAAATACGTAATAATTTTTATAAAAAAAGTTTATTAAATATATCGAATAAAGGTTACTGCCGATTCAATAAAATAACGGTTACAAATTAAATATAATTGTCGGATGTAGTGGTGGTTCAGAGTGTGTCCTTAGGTGGTCTGTGCGCTGTGGGTGAGATAGTTGCCCCACAGCTCTGTTACCACTGCGGATAGACGCGTTGAACCCGTATTTAGGTGTGAATCTGTCCGTACCAGGTAGACTTGAAACAACCAACAAACAAGCACGTACGAACCGAATATTCCGCATGACGAATTTTCACAATAATTAACTAATATTTTCGATCGTTTCATTTTTTAAAGCAATTTCGTATTGAGAAGACATATTGTGGTAGTTTTAAAAATATATCGTCAAGGTTTTAAAACTATCACGTGGTATTTAAAAGGATTACGTGGTATTAAAAGGAGATATTAAAGGTCGGTCTAATTGGAAGAGGAGTCGTTTAATCAAAAGGGATGCCAGGCAAAGTAGGTCTGGTGATCTGGATTTGGGTGTATTAAAGTGTGAATCTGGATCATCTCGTCTCATGGTGACGGTATCAAGGTGAAGGCGGCTTGGTTCTGAACGAGGGCATCGAATTAGTGTTTGCCGCTCAAGATGGATGGGACGATCTGATATTGGGTGCGAATGCCACGAAAATCTGGATTGTCAC